AACAAGATGCTGGACAGTAAAACAGGTCAGGAGCATCTTGAGGAAGAAAGCTTTTGGCAGAATGCCCCTTCCTCACTGGCATTAGAGAAAGACTTGAAGTGTTGGGTAGTTTCCAAGGAGAGAAAGATGGAGAGTGAAGCAGAGATAGAAAGGCAAGGAGATCACCTGACAATAATGCATCGTCTCTACTCAGAGAAATAAGACTGAGTTCAGCACCAAGACTCAGATGCTCAGGTGCAATTTCGGATGGCAGTCTAGATGAAGGGGTGGAGTACAACCGACAGGCTTTTGGTACACAAATTGCTTCTTAATCCATCTGCCCCCCACTCCATTTTTCAATCAATCAACCCATCAATACATTTATTATGTACACCTCGGGCTGATTCCCCCATGGAGACCCTGAACAGCAATCTGCAGCCTGAAATACAAGGATCAAAGCACATCGCCGCAAGCAAATACATTCAGGAACAGTTCTTAAAAAATCCAAGAAAGGCAGAAATGACTTCCAAATTAAAGCATTGATGCTCATCAGTCAAAATCATTCCATCGAACTCATCAGAAGGACAAATACATGAGCGCCAATCAGAAAGAGTAAAGAACATTCACCAGATTAAGAGCACAGCTTGGTAAATGAATCCGTTTAGGGTGATGCTAAAAACTTGAACAGACTTGTCCTGGCCTGCTGGCAGAACAATGGAGATGGAGCTAGCCAGAGATGTCTGTGGGCTCTCAGTCCACCAAGAAGACTTTTCCTTGTGTCCTCTTTGGTACGAACCACAGTAAGGACCTCTCCAAAGGATATAAAAAATCAGGCACTCTCAGATTGGAGGATGTAGTTTTTCAAACTGCCTGGCTTCAAGCCATCTAGAGCATTATGGATGATTACCAGAACTTTGAATTATGCCCAATACTGTAAAAAAAAAAAGTCTCCCTTTACTTTCACAGTAAAGCAGTCTTTCCCACCTGTCACACTGCCCCATAAGTACCATTGGCCCCATGGAAGTATGGGTCCCTGAGTTGGGACATGGCCACTTTTGAATCATGGGGAGGTCCTGAAGGTTTAGCAGGGCCCTCCCGCGAGTTCATCCTCCAAGGAAAATATGCATCGCCACTCCCAAGGAACAGAAAACAGGCATCTCATGTGGACAAAGAAGGACAACAAGACCGGCACAGATGTCCCCAGGTGGATGAAGAACACGGCTGTCCTTCAGCTGCAATTTCAGAAAGGCCCAGAAAAACGTTTTCCTTTGATTCCTCTGCTTTGCAAGGGCCTTGCCAGACTCTTTCGATGGCACTTAACGAAAAATGGATCGTTAATGCTCATTTTTCTTGAGGCAGCCCCTCTGTTACTGTGAAGGGCTACAATTAGCCACTGGAAATCTCAGCAGACGGGCAGGGCAAAAGAGAAATGCAGAGAAGGGACGGTGCGGACTTGCTGGCCGGGGTCCTTCCTGGCACGGGGAAGCTGCCCTGGGGGCTTTGAAGCTGCTTGGCCTGGAAGTGGTGCAAAGAGGATGTGGCTCTTCGAGATGAAGCAAAGCAGGATTTTAGCAAATCAAAGCAAGAGGATTGATGGTAAGCCGATCCCACGGACGGTCTGCGTGAGGATTATTAATTTTCCAAACTGTATCTTTCCCTCCAAATCAAAACCAAACTACAGCGACAATTTACTTGTATACGCCCAAGCTCTACCTCGGCCACCCCCAACCTGGTGCATGTAGATGTGTCGGACAATGATAAAAGAAACTCCCTGGCCTTGTTGGCTGGGGGGATCATGGGAGTTGTAGTCCATGTCTCAAGTGAACCAGTTTGGAGAAAACTGCCCTCTGCATTTAGTTGGCATTAAGATTGGAGAAGCCTCCTTCTGAGTGTCAAACCGTGAATCTTTTCAGGGCAGAGGTGTGGGGACGGGTGTCATGTCCTCCCGCAAAAACCCTGGAATTGAGGGAATCCTTGGAAGGGAGGCTGGGCAGCGGCAGGAAAAGCCAGCTGGTTTACTTTTCTCTCTGCGATCGGTCGCTGTGAGGGCTGAGCAGGAGCATGGAGACTCGATGTGGACGGCAGATGACATCGAAGTCCCTGCTGATGGAAAAGCACCACTGCAGATTGAGGCTTCCCGGGCTCCTAGGAACACAGCAAAGTGCCTCTGAGCCGCCAGCCTCGGCCTGGTCTTAGACCTCAAAATTAGTAAGCCGAGGAGGCAGCATTCGGACTTACTTGCGCAAGCCGCCCAGTTGCTTAGACACTGGCTGAAGCACAGCATGCAAAATCAGGCAGGAGGACGTTCTGGTCGATGCCCGACACAACCGGAGTGTTTCCTCTAGCTGGCAGCGGCTTTCCTGGGGGTCGGAATAGTTCCCCCTTGCATCCAACCTGGAAGAACTAGAGTTTGTTTAAACTGCGATTAGCTAACAAACCAGGATATCGAAGCTTGATTTGTCAGCAGGGAAGAGTAGTTCGTTCCAAAGCAGACTGGTTTGTCTCTTCTTTGAGCGTGCAAAAAGATGAATCGGGGGAGGTGAGTGAGCCCTCGTTGGCACGGGAAGCAATGGCTTCCACTTGATAGCCACACTGACACATTAGCTCAATGGGATAAAATGCGGCCAGGAATGAAGGCAAAGCTACCCCGGCAATTTTTCTGGCAATTTGCTGAAAAATCAGGGATTGAGACAGTTTTGAAAGAAGCAGGTATGAATTTTCCAGATGACTGCATACCCCCGAGGGGGATTTCAGCTCCACTCCGGTGTAGCATGAAGCAGCTCTGTGAGCTGTCTTGTACGGTTGGACTGCCACCACATCGGATGACATGACTTGGAGGGAAAGCTGCCCAGTCCCTCATTCCCTCCCTCCGAAAACCTGTTCTGACAGTTGAAACAGAAGAGTGTTAAAAAAAAAATGACTGGAAGAGTCACCAAGACAGGCAAAATCAAGTGATTTCTTCAGAATCTATTCAGCATCTTTTGCAGTAGCCTCAAGATGGCTCATAAAAACTATGGGAAATTCAATTAAATATAAAGTATAATTAAATATATATCAAGTGCATTTCATGTAACATTTAAAATATATTAAAGAGGATTAAATGCGTTTGATACGAAGATTAACTGAAAGAGGCAAAATTGATTTTCTTTGTTTAGCAGTCTACATACAAACTCTTTTGTGATAGCCTCAGCGTGGATTATACGTAAAAACAATTCAGCATATAAAAGCGCATTTTTTAAAAAGGCAGTAAAGGACGGCAGAATAAGGGCAGCAAATATTTATTTATTTATTAAAACATTTTATGCCGCCCCATTCGCCGAAGCCAACAAATAAAACCCAGATTAAAGAACAGTTCATAGCACAACCTTGGGCCTTTCTGCTCAGAAGTAACTCCCATTCAGTTCAATGGTCCTTCCCCTCAGCTAAGTGGGCATCACAGCTGCAGAAGCCAAGATCATTCCGAAGTTTTGGGACTTGAACATCTTTCATTGCTGTCTGTCTGTCTGTCTGGGGATTATGGGGTTTGGGGGCCACTGAATTCCGTGGGGGCTGCCCCAGGTGAGCAGGTAAAGGATCCCAGCATGAGAGGCTGGGAGGGAAGGAGGGCCACCCACATCACCCCGAGCTCCTCTGAGAACGTTGGACCATCTCTTGAGGGAATAAAATCATTAGGAAGTCGCAACAGTGGAAGTCCTATAAAGTCATTCCTTCGCTTTGAGGATAAATGTCGTGTGCTTTGGGGAAGGCTGTTTGAAGTTCACTGCTGATGACGCAGAGGGCGTCTGTTGTGTCTTTGTGTTTTTCCACGCTGGAAGATGCTTGCCGGGTGCGTGCGGGGGCCTTTTTGGAATCCCCAGGTGTTCCTGCAGGGAGGCAGCTTGGCGTGACTTCTTGGCATCTGCAGCCTCTGCAAAGCTGCAGCGGAGAAAACTGGGTCACGCTTCGAACATGTCAGCGGCACGCGGCCTCAACTGCCACAAAGAGAGCTCCAGCTGCAATCCGAAACAGGAGATAGGCTTCTCGGTCCTCTGCCTCTCGTGGATCCCCCCATTTACCGCTTTATTGATGCCCAGTTGACTCCAGTGGGCATAATGTAACAGAATCTGCTTCAACCTAATTTTATTATGGTTGTTTTTAATTTTTCAGTGATGCTGCTGATGGATCCTCACCCCTGCAAGTTCCTTACAGAACTGAAAGCATGCAACAGCGCAGCTCTGACATTCCCATGAGGACATTCCCAGACAACCACCTTTTCAAGCAGCAGCTCAAAAGCAAGCACGTTCGAAGGCGAAATAGCTGCAGGAAGGAACAGCCACTCTCCTAACCGCAGGCAGCCTGAACTTGACAAAGGCCTTAAGGGGTCGCTCAAAAGAGGACCCCAGCTGGGCGAACGTGTATCCCCAGGAGGGAGTGCACGGCGGCAGGGGCCGCTACCAAGAAGGCTCCGTCGCTTGCGCCTGCCGGTCGGGCCGCTGCTCAGGGCGGGCCAACACGTCGGACCCCCGCGGCGGCGCATGTTGCGCAGGCCCTTCGGCTCGGAGCGGCTGGAGCAGCCCGGCCGCCACCCACGGGGCTCTGCAGGCCCGCCCGGCCCGCTCCGTCCCGCCGGCGCACTGGAACCCCGGGCCTGGCCAGCACCGGGCCGAGTCCTGCCCGGTGCTGCTGCCGGAGCTGCTGCCGGGGGCATGTGCGCCGCCCCGGGGGAGGCGCGGGAGCCCCTCTGCGCGCACGGACCCCGATCCGTGGGGCGCCGGGGAGCGCAGCGCGGAGGCGCCCGTGCACCCTCGAGAGCGGCTTGCCCGGAGGCGACATCGAGAGTAAACACCCGCCTCCGGAGCAGCGCCGCCGCGTTGCTATGCGGGCCGGCGGCGCGCCGCGTAGAGGCCCGGCGGGCGAGGCGGCGCCGCCTGCAGTCCCCCTCCTCGCCGCCGGGGGCGCTCGCGCGGCCGCTGCCCCGAGCGCGCCTTCCTCCGCCCGCCGGAGCGCCGCGGGGGCGCTCTGGCCTCCGCCTCGGTGGTGGGGCGCGTCGTCATCGGGAAGGGCCGGAAGCGCGGCGGGAGCGAGTGTGGGCGCCGGCGGAGAGCTGAGCGGGGAACGCGGGGCGCGCCGGAGAGGTTGGTGCGGGGCGGCTCCCCGGCCGTGGGGTGGGGTGGGGTGGGGTGGGGAGGGGAGGGGGAGTCCGGCCCTCCTGCCCACCCGCGCGGGCGGAGGCTCGGCCAGCTCGCTAGGCCTCGTTTCCGTGGCAACAGCGCCTCCCTCCGGGGCTCCCCTGCCTGCCCGGCGCCAGGCCTGGGCCCGGCGCAGGAGGCGGCGAGACGCGGGCAAGCGGCGGAGGCGCCCCGCCCCGCCCCGCCCCGCCGGTCGCTTAGCCCTCGCGCTTCCTTCCCCAGCCGATGCGAGCCCCGACCCGGCGCTGCCGCGTCCCGCTTGCGTGAAGAAATGACTACTCAGGTAAGCGCAGGAGTCGTTGCCACTTAGTTTGCTGCTGCTGCAGTTTTTCCTCTTTTCTAACAAGTGGTCGTTTATTTTCCTTTTCAGTACAGTATTCTCTTTAAGCAAGAACAAGGTAAGGAGTTGGAACTACTTAAGTCTGCGTGTTTTATGTGAGTAAATCGCGTGTAAAAGTGTTAGATAGGATTGTAATGCAACTCTGTGAATTCCAGTGTGCATATTTGGAGAGCAAGAGGGGAAACTATGGCCATAGACGGTAACATGTCAGAGCATACATGTGGGTGAAGAAGGGGTGAATTCTTCTTCCTTCACTTGCCATAATTTCCAATCGCACATACATGTACAGCCCGGCACTCTGCATTAATGCAATTTAGACAGACTCTCTTGTGCCCGCTAGCTGAAACACAGGGAAAAATGCCTCCCTCTAGGAATTGTGTGGGGTTTATTTTGGTCTGGGAGACAAACAATGTATGCCTTATGACACCAAGCACACCATGGTGAGCACGTTTTGTTTTAACCCAGGAAGACTCAATTAGCAACAACTGCACCTGTGTTTTTCAGACTGGGTGGAAGCCCCACTGAACTCAATGGGACTTCCTGCTGGGTATGCCTGTATGGGATGATACTGCCAATTTACTTCTTTTCTTTCTCAGCCCATGATGATGCCATCTGGTCAGTTGCTTGGGGGAAAAATAGAAATGATGGCTCAGAGACCGTAATCTCAGGATCTCTGGATGACTTGGTGAAAGTCTGGAAATGGTATGTTCCTTGGGGAGAAAAATATAATTTATTTTGGTTAGCTTGAATTCTGCACTTTCCAGAAATGCAGAATAAACTTGTATCAGTTTGTTTGGCCCCACAGCTAGTAGTTGATCCTCTTTTAAAAAGTTATGATATGTTTTGGTTTATTGTATGAGTATACTGTATAAACATAACTCTGATATAGCTAATCGCTTGGTTTTAACCCAAGCAGCCGTTGCAGATGTTCATTTCCGTGGCTTAGTTGGTGACTTGTGGTTTTAAAGGCAGTCCTGATGACAATTATATGCTTAGTTTTCGACATCCCTATTACTTCTATCTTACACTGAGTGAGGGGATCATACCCATTTCTCCTGGGTCTCAGACAGAGTTCTTTTCTAGCCTTACCTGGATATTCTAGGGCCTGAACCCGAGGTCTTAACCGCTGAGTAAAGGCCCTTCCCACTGTCCTTTGTGGGATGTGCTGGTGTGTAATTATCTCAGCTGTTTTTGCTGCAACTTTTCATGTAGGAGAGGGCAAAATCCAGAGCTGGAGAAAGACAGGAAACTGAATTTCTGTGTGATAGGTATCGCAGGTGGAGGATGCTTCTTAATATTAATATATTATCCTTTTACTTTTCAAAGGAATGAGGAAAAGCTAGACCTCAAGTGGACTTTAGAAGGTCATCAGCTGGGTGTGGTGTCTGTGGATATTAGTCACACTGGTACTGTTGCAGCATCCAGTTCTTTAGATGCTCATATACGAATCTGGGACTTAGACACAGGCAAACAGATCAAGTCAATAGATGCAGGGCCAGGTAAAATCTTAAATTTCTCTGTTTATTATGCTGCCTTTATTTTTGGAATGTGGGGCTTCATCAGTAGACTAACTGAATACAACTCTATGACTTCAGTGTTATTCCACTAAGAGTTTAATTCATGAGATGAATTAAAACTTAGATGATCAAGTCTGAACGAGGACTCTGAAAAAGTAAGCTGTGTCTGAATGTGAATAACTTATGGACATTTTGTTGCTCTGGATAGGATATATGTTCAAGTCTTCATTTGCTATCTTGCACAGTTCCCATGCGTTACTATTGCACTGTATGAATAAGTGAATGTATATTGGTATCTCACATTTTTATCATCTTTCCTGTCACACAGTTGATGCCTGGTCACTGGCTTTTTCACCAGATTCTCAGTATGTTGCAACAGGAAGTCACATAGGGAAAGTCAACATTTTTGGTGTTGAGACTGGCAAAAAAGAGTATTCTCTGGACACTAGAGGCAAATTCATCCTGAGTATTGCATATGTAAGTCTCCTGTATTTAATACATGCCTGGTGCAGTCTCTTCCAGCACTGCCACCAGCCACTCTGCCCTGAATTGTAACAACTGCTTGCTTGTTCGTTGGGTTTTTGCATGCGCACCAAGGGAAACATTGGCCAGGCCTGAGACTTCCACTCCGCTGCGGCATGAGTGGAGGAAGTAAACGGCAGGGAGGTCAGGAGGCTTTCAGATACAGTGAAGTTCAAAGTAAATGTTTTCATGGGATTTATGGGCATTTCCATCAGTGGATTTGCTTCTCTCCTAGCAGGGATGGGCAGCTTGTAGCCCTCCAGACATTTTGGCCAACAAATCCCGTTGGCCCTAGCCAGCAGCATTCGCTGGTGAGGGATTATGGGAGTTGTGGGTCAAAACACCTGGAAGGTCCTTGGTTGCCCACCTGTGCAGTAAAGCCATGCAGGATGCAAGGACAGCCGGCTTTCTCCTCTTCCCAGAAGGAAGCCTGCTGATGCACAAAGACCTTAGCTATAATTAAAAGTTTTCTGGATTCTCCCCTGCCATCATAAGAACACAGGAAAAGTCATGCTGGATCCCACCCGAGGGCCATCCAGGCCAGCCGTCTGTTCACACCGTGGCAAACCAGAGGCCCACAGGCTCCTTTAAGCAGGATGGGTGCCAGAGTCCTACCTACCCAAGCTCCCCAGCAACTGGTGTGTGCAGGCACACCACCCCGGTAATGGAGGCAGCCCACAGGCCAGAGGTCTGGAGCTGCCTTCTTCATGCAGAGGCCTCTTTGCCACAGCGTGTACTTTGGCATGTGCTGGAAGAGAGCGATTTTAAGGGCCTGTTTGTGCTGTTTGCAGAGCCCAGATGGAAAGTATCTAGCCAGCGGAGCTATAGATGGCATTATCAACATTTTTGACATTGCGACGGGAAAACTTCTCCACACGTTGGAAGGTAATACGGCGCAGAGGGTTTGTGATATGTTGTGGCCTGTCTCCACTCTGTCTGCTCGCCTGGCCCTCAGCTCCCTCAGGTGGAAGAGAGCGAGGCGAGTCTTGCTCATCCACACAAGCAAAACAGTTCCGGAGCAAAGCGGCCAAACAGGTTGGCGGAGGTATGGGGCGATAGAAACGTGATTATATTGTGGAAGTCGAGGTTAACAGTGATCTCTTAATTTTCAGGCCATGCCATGCCTATCCGGTCCTTGACATTTTCCCCGGACTCCCAGCTGCTTGTCACGGCTTCTGATGATGGCTATATCAAGATCTATGACGTGTGAGTCCAAATCTTTTCTCTGTAAAACGAAAAAGAGAACATGATCTCTGACTGCAGTCAGGCATTTTTCTAAACCGGCCCTGTTCTTGAATTCCACAGACAGCATGCAAACCTGGCCGGCACCCTCAGCGGCCATGCGTCTTGGGTGTTAAACGTAGCATTTTGCCCCGACGACACCCATTTCGTTTCCAGGTGTGTAGAATGTTAACATTCTCTGGTTTTGTTCATATAACATTTTTAGCCCATCTTCTCCGAGGTATATTGATTATTCTCTTCAATGCCACCCCCAGCATTGACTCCCATAACTCCCCTGTAAGTTACGTTGGCTACTGATGGCCCGGTGTGAAATTGGCACTTCTGATTTTTATCTGACCGTTACGTTATACTGGTTGATGTATTACCGTATTATTATTGGAATGAGTATCGGGGAAAGGAAGGAAGGCAGTTTATAAATCAAGCTTTGTGGAATAACCGTGTATGACTGCCAGACTTTAAACTTTGTATATTTTAAGTGGCTTTAGCAGGTGGACATTAGTCTTGGCCTGAGTCTGAGTATTTCGGTATATGACAGAAGTTCCTGTGTTAAACTATACGTATTTTTTGCGTATGCTCTTTCTTCATGTTTGCCTTGCTTTACCGAAAATTTTCCCTGGCGATCTTTGTTTAATGCCCATGCAGCTCAGCATTGTAGAGGTCTGCAAATTTAGTCTGCACAGTTTCTTTGTAAAAGGTTTGTGTTGCGGGGAGAAGGGGGGAAATCGTGCCGTTTGTGCCATGGTTTAACATGGTTTAATCATGGTTAGTGATAACACACAAAGCAGGTCTGTCTGGGTGAGGTCCTGTGGGAACTGAATGCAGGTGCACAAACCATGAATTGTGACAGGATAGTCAGACCACCAAGGGGCATAACCTGTTCGTTTCATTTTCTCAAGTGGGGGCGGCTGCGTTCCAGTCGGTCATTTGCTGTTTACCCTGCCCGAGTTAGGGGGCCACTTGCAGAAGCCACTGGTTTTTTTTTCGCATAGACTGCTTTATATTGCTGTATCCTTGGCATTCTCAGGAATGGAACAAAAATAGTAATACTGTTTGAACATGTTCTCCAGTTCATCAGACAAAACTGTGAAAGTTTGGGATGTGCCTTCGAGGACTTGTGCTCACACCTTCTTTGATCATCAAGACCAGGTAGGGTGAGGATTGTGAGGCTGTTTTTCCAGCGCACACCTCTCTTCCTGTTCTTCTAATTTTTATCTTGGGGTTTTTCTTGTTTTCCGCAGGTCTGGGGTGTGCAATACAATGGAAATGGGTCAAAAATTGTCTCAGTAGGTGATGACCAAGAAATCCATATTTATGACTGTCCCATTTAAATGCTTCTCCTTCAGCGTGCTTTGCTTTGGAAGGCTATGCGCGTAGCTTGTCACGAAAGGTTTCTACACTTTGATATTAGTTTTGTGTCAGGAGGTCTTCAGGCTTTGACAAAACAGAATCATCGAATGGTACCTTCGTTTATATATATTCTGCCATTTTATGTTTCTAGATGTGTGTTTTAAAATGGAATAAATTACTTTGGCAGTAGAGTACCTTTCCCTTGAGTGATGTCGGGGGAATGCTGGCAAATGACTACCAAGAAGGAAGGTGTCTGTGGGGAAGCTGTGAGATTTGTCAAGATACAGTCCATGTTAAGCTGCCCCCTGAAAGGCGGCTAAGGAACATTGAAATGGGAAAGCTTAGAGGTGACGGGTCACGCTTGGAAGTCTTCAGGGCAACTTGCAATGGGGAAAGGCCGTGTTGTGCTCAGTTGACACCCAGTTCATGCGTTTCCAACCCCCTGGGGCCATTTTGCAGTCCCCATCATTCTTCATAAGCCTGTATATAAATGGTGAGAGTTGCACCCTTAGGTATTGGCCTTAATATTCATAAAGATATAAGAAAAGGGCTAGCCCCCACTTTCTCCCAAGCATGTCCATTTGGATAATGGGAGAAGCTCCAGGATTTTTCCGTCCCTCCCTCCCTCCGAAGCATTGAAAGGGAGTACGGCGCACCACTGTTCTGTAGCGTGGGTGACAAAGCCCTTTGCAAGGATTCTGGCGCAACTAGTACAATAGCATTAGATACTCCTGCAGTTCCCCATACCTGCCAAAAATTAAGGAAACATATGAGGGATCTTAGAAAGTTTCCACACTTTTATATTTTATAAATATATTGTATATATCTTTTGCTGATGGCAGTAAAAGGTCGGTGCAATGCTGGGTAAAAGGCATCGCAAAGGAAGGAGACTATGCAGAAAAGTTGTGTAATTTGTTTTTGAAATTCTTAATAGAGTTGAAAAAGTGCAGGGACTTTTTGAAGATTCCTTGTAATTCTGCCAGGACTTGTAACTGGCAGAGACAGCTAGGCGTAGCCTGAGACATTCAAACCTTCCCTACCACCTTGAGCTATTAGAGGGATGGTTTAAGCTGCTATCTAGGCACTGCAACATTCTTCTGAAACATCAGCTTGCTATTTGAGAGTATTTTCCCAACAAAATTTAAACAGGTGTGGGAAAAAGTCAGAATCTTCCTTTTTTCCCCCCCTTCATTCTTGTTCTTAAAGGTGAGCTACATGTAATTTTTAGATCTTGACAGTTTGGCTTTTCAGAAGCAGGATTGCCCTACACAAGCCAAAGCTTATGCAATTAATTCCCAAATACACGTTCCTCGCTTTACTGTTCAACAGCCCCTTTGAGTCAATACGAAGACCTTGATTTAAAACATCATGTTCCCCACTTCATTCTAGGATTAAATAACTAAATAAAATTTCAGACTTATTTTAACTAGAAAAGCTTCACACTACACAGAATGGTCCTTACTTTATTCGAAGAAACACCTCTTTACATAGTATGAGAAGCTTAGAGAACACCTCATTAAGCTGAAATGGTACTGCTGTTTCATGTAATGAGGGCTAGAAAGTCATTCTCTACTTTCTTCAAAGTTGTGTCTCAAAAGTAACTGAACGTGTGTTGTCACTTCAGCGACAGCACACTTGAGTTAAGGTACAGCGATCTAAGTTTACATAAATAGATACATATGAAGTAGTTACAAAACTGAAAATACAGCAACTCAGTGTGCTCAACATGGCAAGTGGCTTTAAACGCTTTGCAGATAATTCTTGAAGTTGTCATAGTGCGAGTCCATTGCAACTGAGAGATCAAGATGTCTGGCATTGCACACCAGTTCTGGGCCCTTCGTCGTCCTCTTCATAGGCCTCCCCTTGATTACGGTAAGATCGCTCTCGTGGATCGAACTCAACTAGGTCGACTTGATCCATGTCTTCCGTGACGGTGACTTGTTGCCGTGGTGGAAGCAGAGCTTCTAGGAGAGGGAGCTGGTCCTTGGGCAGCCAGTGGTGCTCTGGGAATGCAACCTGGGAGAGCAAGGCACAAACTCAGGCAAGCTCACATCTGAAACGCAGCTGAATGTTGCGTCTATCACACTTGTTTTCTCTCCGCTTTCACAAGGGTTTAATTTACATGAAGAGTAAGGGGCTGACAGGCGCAGGAGCCAAACACAGCATTCACACGCAAGAGTATCTGGCTTTCTTGTACAGTTTTGTGCCTTAGCCACATTCCTCCAAGCTGACACACAGAGTCTTCCTTCCAGTAGGATGGCCTGCCGCACAGAACTGCAGAGGACAACCTGTGGCCCGCCCAAGCGTTTCTGCCTGCAGCTCTCGCCATCTGTCACCACTGGCCGTGGCGAATGGGAGATAAAGGCCAAAATCTAGACCGCCTCAGGTTGCCATACAATAAATACTTTCTGCCACACACACAGTATGACAGCACATTCTATGCAGAGGCATCAGGTGAAACCAATGACAAGCCAATCTAAAAGCATCTTGGTATCCCTTATGAATCTGAAAGAAAAAGCTGAACTTGCTTAGCACTCTAAACAGTCAAGTGTACCAGGCAAACGGGCCTGGGGAAGGCCACATTCCTTCGTGTGGGTTGTCAGCACAAAACGCAGTAACACCACCTGGTCCCACAACTGCAAGATGCTTGGGCAGGACTCTGAAGAGCATTGATGCACATCAGGCACTCCTTGCAGGCGTAAGCTGTCGGCGTAACCGGCTTACTTACCAAGAACTGTATGATTAAGGACCCTTTTTCCAGTGGAGATCTATAGACTGGCATTCCTTCATTCAAGACACACTTGATGTCTCCATGCTTTAGCACTTCACCTGTTTGAAAAGGGATTGCACACACTTTGAGGGTGCTTCATGGCAACTTAACCCCCTTTCCTGCCGATTCCCAGCAACTCCTATTTGACGGCAAGTGACGCCTGAGGTCCCTAGCTAGCGTAAAGTAGTATAAGAACCACTGTTATGCTTTCTCTACCAGGAATGCCTAATCCCTTTTTAAAGCCATCTAAGCCAGTGACTTTTGGTAGCAAATCCCATAGCCTCTGCTGTTGTTTGTCTTCCCTAAATCTCTTGCTACATAAGAGATCTGAAAGATCCCAAGTTATAATATTATGCAAGGAAAATGCTTTTTTTTATTCACAATGCATGCTTTTATAAATGTCTATCATTTAAAAATTAATTCCTATTCTCTGCTCCCTGTTCTTGAGCTAGTTACTAAAACTGGTTTCCTGACTTTTGATACCCATTCGAAGCCAAAAGAGATGGCACAGTATCTTTTGCTCATCAAAATTCACCACAAGCATTCCATCAAACTTACTTCAGAGGCTGGCTCACAGCCACTGTAATGTTTCAGCGTTAGACTGGTAAACAAATGCATGATGAACTAACCCATTTCCCCACCATATTCATTCCATTTCTTCTGCCACTGTAATGGCAAACAGTGCTAAACCTACCTGTTTTTGAAGTTATTACAAGGACTCTGTCGTCCAATGTATCAATGGTCTTTTTGAACCCACATAATGCCTCTGTCAGCTGAATTTTCATTTTCATAATTAAGTCATGGCCTCTTCTTTGAAACACTGGGTGGTCCTTCTGATCCAGCACAATAATGACATCTCCAGGTTCTAAGTCAGGTTCTTGGTCACCTTCTCCATGAAACACTAATTTCTGACCATCTTTCATGCCTATGAAGACAGTAAGTTATAGGACCAAATAGATCAGGCAAAATTGAGAGAGTATCTTGCAATTATTGCACCCCATGAGCCACACACTGTATTGTACACAAAACTCTTGAAGTTACTATTGGTGCCAAAACCTGGTCAAAGGCAACTAATTAATACTCATAAATTGCAAGGGACAAACACCAATCAAAAGACATCTTGTAACTCTGAGCCTAGGATATTTAGTGGGGATGGTTCCAAAATCCTCGGCCAAAATCTTTTCCCTGCTTTTGCTTTTCTAAATTTTCTAGTGCTGTTGCCAAGTTGATGCATTAAGAGTACTCCCCTGAATTTTCTGAATTAAGTATAGAGTGCACCTTACTGTTGCTTCAAGGATAGTTACAAACTAACTGGAAGTTGTAGCCAACTGGGCACGTTTTAGCCTCGGAATTCATTTTAGAAGTTCTCTAGATCATCACAGGTCAGGACATCCTGTGTCAAACCAAAATCCAGATCTGGACAAACCTGGAAGCTTTATTTCACATGTCTTTACTGTAGAGTGGCTAAGTGCTCTGAATAGCCAACAGCCAAATAAAAATGGTATGTAGTTAAGCAGAAGAACAATTAGCAGCCTTGGAGGATCATTGGAAAAACTTTTAAGTGTCTTGTGGCAATGAAGACCTGCCAGGAGCATCGTCTGGGGAAAGACAATTCCCCCACAGCCTGAGGATTGTAAGCAAGCTGGCTGGAATTCTTACCTTTGTCGATGTGGATTTCTATGATCTTCTTCTCTCGAATCACCTTATTGCCACTGCAAGTGGGACACCTGTCCTTGGGATTGATCCGTTCACCCTGGCCTTTACATTCTGGACAGACAGTCTGAATCTGCTGCACCATGCCAGGCCCAATCTGTTGGACAAGCACCTGAACTCCTCGTCCTTTGCATGAGGGGCACTTTTCCACAGCCCCTTTCTTTCCACCATAGCCTTGGAAGGAAGCACATAGAGAAGCACATATGTCAATTCATAATGCTTGCTGTTGGTGGACAGTAGCTCACCAAGCGCCGATTACTAATCCCAACGTCAGTCCGTGTGTGGCTGCCACCTCAGAATGCAGCATGTGATGAGCATTCTGATCCGTCAATCAGGGGCCAAACTTTACTGTTTGTCAGGTTGTGAGTTTGGGAAAGACCAAGAGCAGGATCTTCGCTTAAACCCTCTCAGGTACCAACTCATTCACTCCAGGATTTGTAAAGAGACAGAAATAATCTTTTAACTTTGCTTTTCATGTGCCTGGAGTGGGCGATTAGTGGGAAACCTCTCATGAGAGGACTGTGAGGTAAAAATATTACCAATTCACTGTTGAAATACTTCACTGATTTCAAGAATAAACAAGGATCATGAACTACTTCCAGGATGGATTTATAATAAATTGTTTATGTTAATAACTTTTAAAGCTGGCTCTTGGCTATTGTATTTTATGCAAAGCTCTCAGAACGAGAACAACATCTTTAACCAGGTCAGTCATAGGACACCACAACCTCTGGTACACAATGCAGTATCAGGTAACACAGATGGAATCGAATGTAGCACGGTGCACAGTTGTGCCTTTTGCCTGAGGTCAGTTTAAGAATGGGTCCGTGAGCAGCGCGAATGCTTCCTGATGAGTCACACCAACAAAATTAATCTGCTTGACTAATGTATTAAAAGACAGCTGGTACCTTAAAATACCCTTGCATAAAATGCTCAGCATTTTCACTAGAGGTGGCAGAAGTGGGCCACAGAAGACTTTAACACTACCCAGCTCTTACGGTCGAGTCCTGCTCAGGATCAAATTACCTTTGCACTTGTCACAAATCACATTCTTCTGGAGGGCCAGCTTCCTTGTGGCTCCGTTGTACAGGTCTTCGAGGGTTACGCTCAACTGATGGACCACATTTTTACCTTAATAAAAAGGAAGATGCTTAATACAAGACTGCAGCTTCCAAGTGCCATTAGAAGTTTTTAATTCTACCTACTTTTATACCAAACAAGCCACACTCCATCCTGGATTAGTGTGTGATTGTTTTTCAGAGAAAACAGCTTCTGAAATGCAACTCTTTAGTTTCTTTAATATGGATAATTTTCCAGCTACCAATCTTACAATGTCAGACCCAGAGGAAATGACAAACTTGGGACATATTTCATTTTATTCTGTAATGATTTCCTGAGCAGAGCAGCGTGGCACGGCAATTAGAAATGCAGAAAGCTCTGTGTCAGAGCACTAGTCCCCTTAGTCCAGCATGGTCAAGCCCAGCTCTTGCTCACCAGGGGGCAGCAACTTGCTTATAGTGGAGTGAGGCTATTTTTGAGACCTGATTATAGCCCCCTTCTTGTGTAAACCAGTTAATACACAAATCAGATTTATTAGCCTAAGGTTAAGCTATGGGCTAGAATGGGTTAGCACCCTGAATAACTTATTCTGTATCCATTCACATGGTGAGCCCCAATATCCTGTACAATACAGAAATTAAAAGGATCTCCAAGACCAGCCAGTTTTCAAATTCATATTTAGTGTCTAGAGTTCAAAAACAATTCTAATCTAACTAGAAAACACTTTACACCCCCTTCAAAAAAACAAACACCCAACCCCTCCCCCCCAGCAACTCTCAAAGTAAGATATCAGATTTGAATGAAACTGGAGTACTATTTAATATAGTGGCTTTTTATGGAATTTTACATGTTGCAAGATGCCAGGAGTGTACCACAATTCAGGATATACACATTCAAATAAACATTGTTAATTTGTTATCTGCCCTCATTGTTTATTTTTGGCTCCCAATCTGACTTCTGAATCTTAGCATTAGTGAAGAGTCCCACTATGTAATTGTTTTGTGACACTGTTGCCATACTAATCCCACAATGGAAGGGGTACATGCAACACAACGGAAATGAGGGCCAAGAAAGAGGTCATGCAGTAAGCAGAGTTCAATCCACACTAGATTGAAGTCTTTCATTTCAGCTTCTACAGGTGACTAGAAACTTCATGCTTTGAACACTGCATTATACCACTCCACATTCTGAGCTCAAACACTAGAATTAATTGCTGCGACATTTTAAAAAAGACACGTGCCTACCTCTTCTCTCTCTATTCATTCGGCCTCCACCACCAAAGAACATGTCAAAGATGTCCATGGGTGAAGAGAAACTGCCGCCACTTAAGCCTCCTTCTTTAATAGCTTGCTCCCCACCCTGGTCATAGAGGTCCCTTTTCTTGGGGTCTGACAGAACTTCATAAGCCTGGGATATGAGCTTAAACTAAGAAAAGAAAGAGACCCTCTAAATAACTTTCTAGCAAGTAATAATTAAGTTTCAAATAAGCAGCTACAAAACCTTTTGAACCTGAGTTAAGAAACCCATGTGTGCAGGACTACAACAAAACAAACAGTATCTTTCTCTCAGCAGAATTCATTTTGTTTTGCCTTTTGCAGAATAGTATCTGTGACCAGCAACATAAAATATGTGTCCATGTAAGGGCCCTTTTCACACAGGCCAACCCACCAAGGGTGCCTTACATGGGATTACCTTCAAATGCAAGGAGTTTCCTTTTCTGTTTGCTTGTGGGAGACAAAATAAAGGTGCTTGCTCAGTATTTCACACTGAATGTGGAAAATTTAGCTGGCTCTTTGTGGGTCTCGGTTTCTTTGGAATAGAACTGATTGTCTTGTCCCCTGACAGCTCTTGCCAACTTGACAGCCGAGTGGGAACCACAAAGGACCTGGCATTTTCCCTTTCTGGGTAACCACTTTCTGGTGATTTTAAGGAGATGGAATCTAGGACTGGACTAACAAAATATCAAGCATTAGGATTGGCAAGTGGGAGAGTCATCTATCTTGCAGGGAAATCTTGGAGGTGCCATGTTCATGCATGCGTATGCCATGTGGACACACACTCTGTCGTAGCAAAAGCAGTCAAAACACATTTCTTAGCTAAGTGTTGAGACATTTTGGAAGACTGGGCCCCTAATGCAACAGTATTTGAAGACAGCGTTTTATTTCTACCCACGAGAGCAGCCACTTGGGAAAAAATACACAGGCATGGTGGCGAGAGCTAATCCTGCCTCCTGCATCTGCTGATTTGAATGTCCAGGGCAATTTTTCTCTCTACCCCCAATAATGTAACACATCACATTTATAAAACAAACCCAGAAACTGAACTTTGTAACTGCATTAGAAGCACATTTTTTTTTAACATGTCATTTCTTGCAGAAACAAGGGATTTCATTCTACAACTGACAGACCATAAAAGCCTTATTTTCTCTCCTAGTTTTCTAGAGAATTGATATGCAGAATAGAACAATACTGCTTTTTAGCCTATGTGATTTTAGAACCGTGATCTGTTCATGTTTAAACTTCCAATTGCTTTTCCAGCCCATAATCTTAAATACCCAAGTACTAAGCAGACTTGGTGAAACTGGCCAGTGCTTTTAGATCTTCTGTCATTCATAGCATCTCCTCTAGAGCTGGGCTCCTACAGCTGATGTGCAACATGACTAGAGACCCCCAGAACACAGTACACCAAACAGACTAGCGAAAATACCCTACTGATTCCAATTAGGCAAACAACTAACCTTCAAGTACATGATGTACCGCACTAAAAATTTGCAATTGGCCTAATACGTTTAAGACGAAAACCGATTTTTAATATATGATCCACTGAAGACTCCTCAGGCCAACCTGTGGGTAATGCAACCTGTGGGTTGTTAGAATAACCAGCAAAGTAAAGTATATGTGAAAATCTAAGGAACTGGTTGTGGTCCTGAAAATGGGCATTTCCCTTTCCAGAACCAAAGCTGGCATTATTTGCATGTTTCTTTTTTAGGCCCAGCTTTACTCTCAAGTTTGATTTGGTGTGTTTTTACCGTGCTTATCTGTATCTACACACATTCCTTTAAAACATTCTTTTTGATCCAGTTCCCTCAGAACCTTTGGGCCTGCCTATTTTAAGCTCTCCATTAACTAATTTACCTTAACTCATGTAAGGATATCACACAATATTCTGTTAATTTTGACACCTTGCCTAGTATGAACAAATCCAAATGCGACCTCATTTTTGGTGTGTATAATTTGAGTCTCAGAAATTAAGCACACAAAGAAACTCATGTACGGAAGTGTACACCGCCCCACACCTAATTTTCCTAAAGGAGCAGCACAGGTTACTTCAGTAATATTTGAGGGAAGAGGCAGAGAAAATGAACCGTTCAAAGGGTGCTCACTAAACATCTGGAATCACTAATTTTGCAAAAGCAATAAAAATTCAACTACCTGCACTGTGTAATAATATATGGACCACAGAGGTGTTGCAATAACCGAGGATTAAAAAAAGACTCAAAACTATGACATTCCCCTGGGTGAAGTGGAGCAGGGGATCGGCATTAAAACTGAATGCAATCAGGGCCTGACCTTCTTGATAACTGAATCCGGAGCTACTGCTGTAGATGGGGCCATCTGTTTCGCCATACCACAGCTCTGCCTTCTGCCTTTGTCCACAGATCTGGGCATGTTAAATTCACCCTTCTCCGGTTTGCAACACTGGAGCAGGAGCACACGCGGGCACGATGCTCTTGCCAGTGCACACACACAACCACGTCTTCTGGGCTTGCGGCGGGCCCGGGCCCTTGGACTGCCACAGCTCTCAGCCGGCACATCCTTTCCATGCCGGCTGAGGCCCCGAAAGCAGAAGATTGTCTTTGGGGCAGGTGCTGGGGCTAGGGCTACGCCTCATGAAAGGAGGAAAAACACTAGGGTGGCCAAAAATGGCTCTCTGAATCTTTGAGGGCGAAGGGAGTGGAGGAGGCATTGGATGCCTGTGACCTTTCAGGTTCGGGAGCGTAAAAGCAGCCACTTAAGGTGTGCTCAAACCGAGTCAAATTAAGTCTTTCTGCCTGTGTCATTAGTACAGCCAAGACAAATGACAAAACCACTTTCTAAAATACCATGGATGGACCAACTATTCTATAAATGTAGCACGAGAAATATCTGTCCTTAATCAGTGTTAAAATGAAACTATCACAGGTTTTACTGCACTTAAAATTGAAGGCATTCATTCAGATGTGAACTAATGTTGGAAATGCAGTTTTTGTTAACGGAAGTTGCGCTTTGGACTTTTACTTCAGCATCTCAAACAGAACGCCTGCCTCCTAAATTATAAAAAGAAAAGCCAGATTCGTGCATAACTTTGAATTCAGAACTTTACAGGTTTCATTTTGGTGAAGCACAAACACTGTGACTTTTATATTTACATCTCAAAATTTATGTACTGCTTTTCTATTAATCCCTTTATAGCTAGTTGGCCTCATGGGTATGCCAAAGCAGGAGAGACCTCGGTATCAGTTAAGCTTCACAAAATCATTCTCCCTTCTAAAACGAAGTGGATAATCTATTGCTCATTTTATACTACTCACTAGACACAAACCTATAATATTCATTGGTTACACCTGCCTGACACCAAGCTAACTTTTCAAAAAGGCGTTGGTGACTGATGAAAGCTGTGGGTGTAGCAAGAACATTAATTGCTCATTCCCCAGGTTTGGGATGATGCAGCTCTACAAAATGCTGTTCTTCCTTACGCATTGGCCTGTGCTGGAAAGTAACCAAACTCACACAAACTACACCTGCCGTTATAGCAATGCCGCTGCAACTTACACTTTGGAAAACTTCTAACTCGGAGGCTGACTTTGGGCATCTGTACAGTCAAAGATATAACAAAAGATGAGTATGTATATTAAGCTACAAGTGCTTAGGGTTGTGTGTCTGATTCACACCTAGACTGGTTTGTCTGATAAATGCCATTGTGGACATACACTTGAAAGAACACATGGTTTGGGGGACAGTGTACTGCTCAACTTCCAGAAGTGTACAGTGACAGAAGGCTTGCACAACTGGCCAGCAGTGGCTCTTTGCTGGTCCCACTCTGACCCACAGTACCCTCCTCACATGCAGTTGTCCCCCCGGACAGCCACCCCCATCTCAGCCCATACCCGTTCGCCCTCGCTGGGGTTCTTGTCAGGGTGGTACTTCAGAGCCAACTTGCGGTAGGCACGTTTGATTTCATCAGAGGAAGCTGTGGGCTTCACCCCCAGGGTGTCGTAATAGGCCGTTTCCTTCACCATGGTGGCCTGAAAGGATAAGAAGAGCAATAAAGCAAAATGGATCGGAGGATAACACCAACCTTTTTCTTCATCATACTTTGGGGGTCAGACTAGATGGCCCAGGAGACCCCTTCTGACTTGCTCTGTTTCTATGTTTCTCCTTCCACCCCCTTCAGCAACTAAAGAACTTACCCTCTCATGCTGGAAGTTTCCTACCAAATATATACTGAAATTAAGTTTCGCATACTAAAATCCCCAAGGTTGCAACATTCAGCCAACCAAACCTTTTCATGGAAGACATAACCTCCAATGTCAGATAATTTCTAAAATTATTTTGAATAAAATAATTGTAAAAACTGCAGAGGAGATGAGGCATCCCCTTCATCTCTCTCACATACGCCTCCAGCACGGTGCTTTCCTGATGCCTACTTCCATTATCTAAATATAAAACTTTTTTCTCTCCTTCCAAATTACTGCTTTATTCCAGTTATGCAAGTGCAGGAAGTTTTAGTCAATCAAGAAACAGCCCTGAATGATTTTAAATTCAAGCATTTCTTTTACTGAGTGCACCTCATGACACAGAGCAGGCATAAAAAGTGACCTGGACAGCTCTCATCACGTCAGGTGAACAATTTGTTCACCTTCTCAGGTAGCAGCCGCGCTCAACTGAACTTGATCAGCACCCAGAGAGATGATGGAGATGTGAGAAGGCAGAGGTGCTCGAATGGTCTTTGCTTCCAATGCAATTAGCATCTATAATCTATATATTATTACTATTATGCAGGGCAAAAATGTTTCTATTGCTACCTTTTTCTGTGAAAATCTTTCCACGTTCACAAACATTTCGGTCCCTTCATATCTGCCCCTTCTTAAAATCTAAATGAGCTAAGAAAGGCACATGCTAATTAAACTGACATGTACAATGAGCAAATAAACACCTTAAACGTGTTTAAGACGTTGCTTAATGAAACGAAGGATCATCTTTCCTTATGTGAATTACCTGTTTGTTGAGTCAAGTATTGAAGGGCACAGTCCTGTACACATTGCAACAGAATAAAGGCCTATAATTCCCAGCTAGTCATACTGGGTCATATGCCCTTTTCAGTCTAACCAGTTTCAGGACTGCACCTTCCAGTGGCTGGATGGACCAGCGATGGATGAAAGTCACCTACGCTCCAGGCCTCAGCCTGCCCTGGAACCAGCCTTAAACAAGCTAGTCAAAGGCTCGCTTGGTACCTTGGACATGACCTTGCAAGCTAAAAACTGCAAAGGAACAAATGGAAGACTTTGAAATAGACCCATCCATCTCAGCCTATGGACCAAACAGTTAATGGACCTTGTGGCCGCCAAGTTAACCAATGCAGCGACCCAACCTGGACTGTGCTTCTTTCAAGCCCCTGCTTCCCACCGGGATCCCAGGCAAGGCGTCAGGAGGTGCAGGGAAGGACCTGTTACAGCTCGGCTCTTCCCACCCCGCAGATCTGGGCGGCCCGGCTCCGGATGGGGGGCAGGAGCGCTGCCAGGATACGCGGACGCACCGCGTGCTGACAGGTCCGCTCTCCACGCCGCGCGATGCCCGCCTGTACCTGTTCTCCGAGGTGGCGCTTGCGGCCGCGCACCTTTCCGGCCCACCTTTCAAGAGCTGCCTTGAACTGCCCCCGGTGCTCTCAACACTGTCAAGCAACTCGCTAACCGAGGTTTCCCTCTTCGGAAGGAGACGCCCCTCCTGATGGGCACTTGTGCCGCTAAGGTCACCTACGACACGGAACTGAGCTCGCGGCCCCATTCACACGTGTCCCATGAGCCGCTCGCTGATGGCTGCGAGCAGCCGCGATTTCCTGCCCGACAAGGGATCGACCTCGCCGCTTTACCCAGCGCCGGGCGGGACGTGCGCCCCCGCGGCCACCATCCTGCCGCCCCGCGCGGAGGACGCGGGAGGCGGATCGGCGCCCCGCGGCTGGCCGGGGACGCTTCCTCCGAGGCGGCCGCCGCCTCGCCGCACTTGCCCTGCTGGCGCGCGTGCCTCCCGCCCGCTCACCTGCGGGCCCGGCGGCGCCGGCGACTCTGCCGAGGGGCTTTCGGCGGCAGCGCGCCCTCACTAGCGAGGGCGGCCCGCTCGCGCCCCGGGAACCCTGCTGCCCAGCCGGCTGCGACGCGCCAACGGAAGCGCCTCGGCCGCGAGCGGAGACGCGCCTCTGCCTCTGCCACCCGCCCGCTCGCTCGCCCGCTCGCTTTAGCGCGCCGCCCACCCGCGCGGCGCCTTTTATAGCGGCCGCCGCGAACGTTCTGGAACGCCGCCGCGAACGTTCTGGACCGCCACCGCCGTGACGTCACGGCGGCTCCGCACCCGGGCCGGCCGGCGACGGGGACGGCGTGGTGGCGCGGCCAATGGGCGCGCGCGACGGGAGGCGAAGGCGGGGCTGGGGAGGCTCCTCCTCCGCTCCCGCGGGGGTTGCCGGCCGCCTCCTGGCCCGTGCCCGCTGTCGCGGGTTGCCAGGCAACCCGTGCAACTGCCGCCGACGGAGGACGGCCTGCGACGCTCGCAGTTCAGCTGCCCGCCTTGCGGTCTGAAAGCGTGGGCGCGGGTGCCGGGAGAGAGAAGCCTCACCTGTTGTGCAGGCTCTTAAAAACAAATCTGCATACGGTTTTTTCGCAAGACAACTAATCACGGGGCTGAAAAAATTGCGGAGGAGGCCGCCTCCCCCGCCCCTCCCTCCAGTTCCAAGACACGCATCTTGTGAATCTGTGGTTATACTCATGAAAGCGGCGTGGCCACAAAGCTTGCTGGGCCACCTACTTTGACGTGCACACTGTTCTTTCCCTCCTTTCCTTCCTTGTGGGAGACGATTTTGGGCCACGTGCACTTTGGCTCCTTGGCATTAAACCCGCGATGCAGTTCTATAAGCTCCTCTTGAATAACCTTGCTTGGGCTCAAGCTGTGGGACGGGATTCACATGCAGCATTTAACCCGGACTGGGGCATTCTCCCAACCCAGGGCTTGCTGAGAGCCTAAAATGGGGCCAGTCGACCAGGGATGCACTTGGAAGTGAAGGTGGAACACACATGAAACCAATTCTTAATCAAGAACGTGGATCCCTCACTACTGCTGCGCAACCATGCCCTTGTAAGCATTTTATTGAAACGGGGCTACTCGGCTCCTGCCTTTCAGCAAGGGACATCCGGGCATGGCACAGAACAAATGCAGCTTCCAGGGTGCATGTGTGGACAGAAAAAGCCCCACTGCTAGCAGCATGCCCTGGCCGGCCTACCCGCGCACGAACTGCTTCCAGGAATCCTCCGTCATGTGCTACCTCACCCGCCCTCGGTGATGCGCCCTTCCTTCCATGGGCGGCTCAGCTTGCCACAGCGATGCCGATACCTGCATGCAGAGAAGGACCTGAGCGGCTTTGCGGCTGCACTCGTGCTGAAGAAGAAAACTGCCGGGAGCATCCCAGGGGAGGAGATGTGATTTGCCAAGCATCCCTGCCTCCCAGGCTGTTTGCTCTCAGTCCTGGATCCATTTCCCATGACCCTGAACCTGCTCCTCCGAGCCCTGAGTCTCCACTGGTACCACGAGAGAGTTTTCTTTTCCTCGGTTTAATGGCCATGTAGGAAGCGACTTCCAAAGAAGATTGCAACTGGGGAGAGAAAGGTTAACTCCCTCTCCCCATGTTGAGACTTCCCCTGCCCTCACGTGACAGTTCAGCTTGCATTTTCCCCCCACTGATGTGCCAATGGAAGGTTTCTTCCCCCAAGCTCTTGTGCAAGGAGTGTGGAATTTCCAGGGGGATCCTTTAGCAATTCGGTTGCAGGCATCTATTCATCTGGCGACATTTATACATATCGGAGGAGTGCTTAAATATATTTAAAGGTGTGTTTTGGAACAGAAGAATAGGGTGTATATATCAGGATGAGTTCAGCTTGGCTTCAGCCAGACTGCCTTTCTCTCCCTGTTCCTTGGAAACCCCTTATGAAATAGCAAGCTTAGAAAAGGAAAGGCTAAAGCAGATCAAGGAAATGAGGCTGGGAAGGAGTTTAACTGGTACACACTCTCCCTGTGTAATGATTTGTATATCCAGTAACACCCTGTCATAGCGCCGCCATATTGGATTCAAAATGGGCACCAGTTTGCATCACCCAAGGAGCAGACAGAATGAGATGCAGGCTTGCATAAAACGTTCCTGTGTTCATTTATAAGGATTGATGCAATTGATGGGCCCAGCTCTTCCTTCTGAAGGCCCTTGATGTTTTAAACTGGGCTTGGACAGGAAGAGAGGAGACCTTCAGATAGAGGACTGGTCCTCGAGGTCCTTTCACATTAAAGAGGACAAGATACACAAAATAAATCAAACTCTGCTTACCGCATTGCTGTCGGTCTGCTTGTTCTCGGTAGATTGTCCCCCAGCCTGTTTGTCCTCTGTGGAATTCCCGCTTGATTTTTTGTCTTCTGTGGAATTCCCACTAGATTTTTTATCCTCTGTGGGCTTCCCATTGACTTTTTGGTCTTTGGATTCCATTTCTGGTATCTCTGTTAAGGTTTCCGGAATAAAAGCAAGGAAAACACTCAAAAATGATCAGACACAAGGCAAAGTAGTACTGTTATTAAAGGGCACTTCGTGTAGCACCGAAAATTGCTCAAAAATAAGTCCATCCACTTCAGGAAAAATATAGAAAAATCTTATTTTCTAAGTCAATCCAATTTTGGATGTAGATCTTGCAGAAGGGGGCAAAGAGACAAGGAAGATCAAGTCTCCTTGTTACTTGAACTTGGCTGCAGCTGTTGTAACTGGACCAGTGTGATTTCAAGAGGAGGAGTAGATGGTTCTGGGTTAGGGGTATATGAGTATACTGGGAATTGTCCTCTGGCTCAGATATTTATTTATTTATTTATTTATTTATTTATTTATTTATTTATTTATTTAGAGCATTTGTATGGCGTCCCATCGCATAGCCTCGGGAGGGCTTACATAAATAAAACATAATACAGATAAAATCCATCTCCACCCTGGCTCCATTAATCCACCCCGGATCCATTAATCCAAGGCAAGTAGGGATTCAGAATCCCATAAGAGGGTCTTACACATGTTAAATGTGTATGTGTGACTTTCCCGGGTGTTAGGTCCCTTGAGCTGGGTAAGGACCTTCTCTGAGTAAACATGCTTGGGTGGTATTTGCTAGAGAGTTGAGTTCATGCCATGAAATGCAAAGAAATGTACATATGAGAGGCAACCATGCTGAAAGACTGTGAACCTATGTCCGATCTCAGGGTAAATCCCACTGAACCAAGCGAGCATGGCTGTTGGGCCACATACACAAAATCACGCTGTACATCTGACATTCTGTGCATAGTTATTGGGGTATAAAGCCCATGATTTAGTGGGAATTACTTCTAATGCTAACACTTGACCTAGATTTTTTTTTTTTAATTTCTCCTGGGCGATTAGATCCGGAGAGCTGCCGTTTACCTTTCCCACAATGCACCAGAGTGACGCCATGTGAGGGGCATTATGGGCACTCAGGCCGGCAGTTGTGCCAGGATTATATGTGGGAAAGTTCAATAAGTCTTTAAAAAGACGAATGTTTAATGATATTAATTGAATAATAGGTATTATGGCAATTATTGTCTAGTATTAGGGAGGGGTACACGAGACTTACCTGTGCTTGCTATGCAAATTCATCTAAATGATGAGATGCGACAAGACATCTCGGCCAGAAATGTACTTGAAAGATTTAGTAGCGGGAGGAGCATAGTACAGAGCGCTTCAGGAGAAGCGGAGCTGAAAACAGCTCGGCCTTCCAGGGAAAGTGGACCGATAGAATTGCCCACCTTTTCTCGGGCCAACTGTCACATGGGGTGAATGGAATGTTTCTGCCTTTGATCTCCACGGTTGCCTAGGAACAGTTGCTCTCCCCTTCCTCTTCTCATCTTCATAAAAGTTTGCAAAAAACCTGAATAATTCGGCTAGGCATCCCCATATGTAACTTTTGAAAGAGTGGAGTTTATTTTACACAGCAGTTCACAATTTATTAAACTGCTTCACCCACAAGAGAGGGAGAGAGAGTTTGGGCTACAGAAAGGGAGATACAACTTGGAAGTGTGCAAGAAGCTGCAAAGTCAAGCTTGGGAAGCTGCCAATTTATGGCACTGAATGTTTTCCTACACTTAGTTTCATCACAGTGTTGAGCTTTGTGCATTACACAAAGTGTGTTTCCTTTCCTGTTTTCCCACTATATAACCCCTAGGTAGCGTTGTGCTACAGTGGAATAACACAATTAAACAAGTGGAAAATACCTTTTCTCTCATTTTCATAAGCGATACTCCGTTTTCTCTGCCTTTAAAATTAAATTTTGCTGTTTGGAAATGGAAGCATCACTGGAGCATTATCATTTTATTTTAAAATCTTGTCAATAATAATGAGTAGGAATGACAGGTACATAATCAAAACATCCTGTGGAAAAGCTTTGACTCGCATGTAAGAGTCTGCAGGGGAACAATTGAATTCTCTTTCATTTTCCCTCTTGTACACACAGATGAGTAATTTAAGACATAATGCAAAATGAGTAAACAATATGAGGAAAAATTAATTCCAATCAACATTACGAGGGAACCTGTGAGAAAACATTGCAGTGTTCTTCCTTAAAGAGGAAGAATGACAGGATATAAATATAAAAATAATTTAGTTTACTGTCAGCTTCAGATGTACCTTAAGCATGTAGGTACTCTCTCACTCAGAACAGTGACTGAAATCCTATATGGACTTTCCTACAAATGCTGTGCATTTAAATAAAGAAGTAAGATTATTTGAACAGAAGATTAGGTGGGTGTGGGAGCACATATTCTAGCAAAAAAGAGAGAAGGGAATTTGCATCATAATGGGTTTTGGTCTCATTGACATTCTTCCCATGGATAATTAAAGAAAGCTGAATGAAAGAAAAGTTTTAGCTGTTGAACCCCATCCAGCCATTGAAGCTTTCTGAGCAGAGCTGAACACTGTGAGAAAGCTCTTTTCGGAGTCTCCACCTCTTGGATTACGTCGTGGTCTAAAGCCAATGTCCATTTGCCCTTAGCTTCTTAAGCCAGATCTCCAGCTTATTTATGCCCAACTGCACAACTTTTAAGCATAGTTCAACCCAGACTGCATTGGCTCGTTTGCCAAAGAACCGATGTCTGTTCCATCCCAAAGCAGGGAGAAGATGACTGAAAACAAGGAATCCAGGTAAAATAATTTCTGGAGAAATCTGTAGTTTCAGAAACTGTGGTGGTCTGACCTCACTCGTTTATGAAGCTTACGAGCTGATTTAGGGCCAGCACAGCATTCTTGTGAAGGTGAAATAGAAGACCATGTAACCTGTGAGTTGAAAATAGCAAGATAAAAATGTAAATTAATAATAATTGCCTAGGAATAAGATCCCCCGGTTTGCTCTGCTGAGCCTACAGACCTGGTTGTGTTTCTGCTCTGGAAAATGAGTGCTTGACACACTGTTCCTGAAAACTTTTACTTAAAAGTAAATAGCATTGAGTAATGGCGCATTCTTGTCCGCCCTCACAGTCCGAATCGCAGCCTCTTTTAAAATGGGCCTTTGTATATAGCACACTGAAATGGGCAGCGAGTTGCTTCTCAGAGTGAACCATGTCTTCCTTGCTGACACTGACTTGGAAAAGGAGATTTTGCCCTTTGAAAATGTCTCCTCGGTGCCTGGTGGCTGTCATTTCTAAAATTTAATCACTGGATTTACTAGCATAGTTTTTCTGCATGCAACTCCAGCCCAGTAAATGCAGGAATTTAAGCGGCAGAGAGCAGAAGGTGGGGGAGGGAACCTGAATATGAACTTGGGGAACAAGTGCAGCTTTGTCAAGAGCGCAGCCAAAATCACGGCAGCAAACGGGAGAAAAGGATGAAGGAGGGAAGGAAAGGGAAGGAAACTGCTCCCAACATGACGACCCGCTGCTGTGGTCATTATCGTGGCTGTGGATCAAATGAGAAGAATCGAAATACAGAATTGATTGTCTACTGCTGGTCATCCACGCTGGCCATCGCAGTAACGCCAGTCTCACCTTTACGAACTCGAACAGAAGTTTTCGAGTAAATGCAGGTAAGAAGAGATGGCGCGCCATGGGTGCACTCACAATTTTCATCTGCAAAGCCCTGCTGAAGCGTTGGAGCCGTTACTCTTTGTGTGCAGTGTGTGTTTGCGCCGGACTGGCTTTGTAACCCACTTGGGCGTTTCTTAAAAAGGAAAGACAGGCGATCAGTGGTTTAGGTACATAAACGAACAGGCGAAGACCTGTTTATTTAAGCGTCATTTTAATTGTTAATATTATTTGCTTATTTTATCTGGCCAGGGTGACTTATTTTATATTCTTATTTCTTGTATTTTAATTTTATGTTGTGAGCCACCCCGAGGCTTCGGCGAATGGGACGGCATAGAAATGTTTTAATAAAATAAATAAATAAATAAATAAACAAACAAACAAACATGGCAGGGAGTCTTCAGAAATGTCAGAGGGGCTTTTTCGTGGTCTCCGAGGCAGGCAGCGGTCAGGGTTTCTTCCAAAGTGCCCCCGCTTTGCTCTTACACCTTTCTCAACTATGGGCCCCCACAGTGGATTTTTGTGATGGATTTTTCTTCTAGGGGACTGTTTACAATTGTTTTAGAAAGACGTGTGTCCTCTGTTTGTGGCTGTTTGTATCCGTGTGCCTTTTCTTAAGGTTTGACTTGCTGTAAGCCTCTGAGAGAGCTTCAGCTATTGAGCAGTCTAGAAACGGGATGAAAGTCCCTGACTTTAATCATTTCCCTTCCACTTGGCTTTGCAACGAACCCCTTGCATGCCTTACGAGGTTGCTCCTTTGGTTCCCCTGAGTCAACTGGTCCTCACTTGATGGTGTCTACCTGCATGAAGAGAGCGCACGGGCGAATCTAAGTCCCATCCTCAAAGTGACTCCCACCCGTTCTGGCATCAGCCCTCACCTTCATACCTGTTCACCCCGGGGCAGTGAGAACCGTCGTTCATGCGCTGGGGGCTTGCAGCGTCAGCCTTCGCAATGCCCCTCTCCTGGGGCTGCCCTCAGGACCAGCTCCAAATCTGGGGGTGGGCAAAGCGCCCAGGGCCTGGTTCTGCAAGAGGCAGGGCCTGTTCAGGGCTTGCCCCGGAGCAGCACAACACCTTGCAATGGGCAGTTCATCCCCCCCCCCTTGGGTGTCTTTTCCCAAAGAGGTTAAGCGAAGGCTCATAGGCTGTTTGGATAACTGTGGCCCTGCCTCTGCCTCTGCCTCTGCCTCTGCCTCTGCCTCAGATGTTGGCTGGGTGTCGCTAGTAAAGGCAGAGAGAGAGGATGGCACACCTGACCGCTGGAGCTTGACATTGAGGAGAGGTGGCATTTTCCGATGGAATCAGGCTCCATGATTAAATTGGTGGTGCTGATGGCTGTTCTTTCTCTGGTGTCGAATTGTCTCCCGCTTGCACCTCCTTTGAGAAATCCGTCTCTGTACAATGAACTCTCTGTAGGCTCTTAAAGACACTGCTTCCTTTCCACAGAAACTCAGCTGGGACACAGAGCATCTTGACTGCCTCTGGAACGGCTCCAGAGGACTCCTTGGGTGAGCAAAGGCCAGGAAGGGCCCCGGCGCGCTTTTCTTCCTTTGGGCTTCCCCGCGATGCGGAATCAGGGAAAATGGAGGGGGGCCAAATTCTGGGCCTGGGAAGGACGGAGCGAGCAAATGCCAAGCCCTCTTTTCAGTCCCACAGGTGGCCCAACCCTGCGTCCTCAAAGTGGCCAAAGTCAGAATGCAAAAGGAAATCCCTTGCCTAGGCTCTGCTCATCTCATTTCCCCCGATCCCTACTTTGTCGTCACCAAGCAAGTGTCCAGCACCCAAAACCTGTTCGGGGGCACAGTATTTAGCTTCGTTTCCTTAGGTCAGGTATTTCTGCCGGTGCGCAGAGAAGGCGAATTCTGCCAGGGTTCGCTTCTCCATTAGGATGGCAGAAGGGGGCTTGGGTTGCTCTCACAGGTAGTGTCCAGGTGGAAGGGAGACCAGGTGCTTCTGTATCTTCCAGGGTCATGCAGAAAAGCGAGTTCTGGCAGGGCAGTTTGTCCTCCAGGGGGCAAGACAGAAAGGGCTGGAAGTACAACTGCACCAGCCTGCCAGGGGAAAGTCGTACTGACCTCTTTCTCCCACCCCACCTCCTTTCCTTACTAGCAAAATTCAAACACTGCCTTTCTTTCTTCGGGGGATTTCTTTGTTTGTTTGCTTTTTCTCTTGGTGCCAGAGAACTGACCTTTGCCTCAGTTCCCTTCACTGGCTTGCAAAGCATTCCCGACTAATTTGGCCTTACCTCGTGACCGATGTGCAAGCAGGCCTTTTCTTTCCTTTGTGGGTTGGAATGAAAGCAATTTCTACTTTTTGGAGTACTACTTACCATGACTTCCTTGCTTGAAGCCTTGATAACGCACTGGCCAGGCAGAAGAGCTCCCAGAGTGGCTTGCTGGTCAGCAAGAAACAAGAAGTTCTCAGCTCCTGGGCGCAGATGTCCAGAAAGATATTCCAAAGGAAAAAGGGACAGGGAGGAGAAAGGAAACCCCTCCTCAGTTTTATCCCATAAAATGCTCACAATTTCTGTGCAAGTCCAAGCAACTGGATGTCTTGGACTTTTCTGAATGTTTATACATCTACTTCTCCGTTCACCCCTCCCTCCCTCCCTCCCTCAGATTCCCTGGGCTTGGCTCCGGAGATTCCCAGTGTTACAGAAATTTAATAAATAAAATAATTGATGTTTGAATTTTTTTTGAGATTAGGAACCCAGATTAAATACAGAAGATCCACCATCTCAAACAGAGGACAAAGATCCAAAGAGTTTGAAATCTAGAGTTTTAAATACCAAACATGAATTTGCGGTGGGTGCAAGTCTTGTGCAAATGGGTGAGCACCCTCCTTTCCACCAAGCCACTGGGGTCATCCAAACTGCCCCATTTGTAAGCCTGTTTCTTTAGAATAACCCCAAAAATGATGCTTCGGGGTCTATTAACCCTGCATGTTCCTGAATCGTTGCTGCTGGAGGATGTCGGTGGGACCTGGGGGGATGCCCACCTGGCTGAGGCATCCCTGCAGATGGGTTGGTCACTGTGGGAAAAGGTTGCGGAAGGAGACGGGCCCCTTGGCAATCTGAGCGTCGCACAGGTGTGGATGAGGTCCAAATGCTCCACCATCGTTTCTTCATTTGCAGCATCTCTCTGGACCACGGCTTCCAATGGGCTGGTTAAACTGAGAATGGACACCACGTGCTTGCAGACTCCCGTGACTGTTCATCAGATGTTCCAAGAATCTTTAGAGAAATATGCATCTCTCGAAGCAATGGCCAGCAAAAAAGATGGGAAATGGGAGAAGATCTCCTTTTCTGAGTATTACCAACTCTCTCGCAAAGCAGCCAAAAGCTTTTTGAAGGTTAAAGCGGGGCAAAGGCCGGGTGCCGATGATGGGGAATCCTAAATGCTCTTTTATGATGCAGCTCCCGTTCATTTCCAATAAGCTTGCAAAGGCTGCGTCTTGGGGAAATGGGCTGAGCTATCTAGAGACAGATTTGGGGGCATATGAATTGAAAGAGAAATAAATAAATAGGCGTAGAGACCCCCTGCTCCTTAATATGTTTGCCCACCACCCCAAAGTTCAAAGAAAGGTGTAACACGCACACACACCCAACACCCAAGGGGGATCCAATCAGCGTTGAGCAGACAAACATCAATGCTGCTCCAGGAACATCTCCAGCCCCCGAGCAAATATCCAGTCTGAAACTTGGGGGGTGGGGGGGGGTGCCTTCTGGCGGTGATGTGTCCACCTTGGCAATGGTGGGGTGGGTAGCGGAGTCCATCTCCCAGCAGGAAACCCCAGGTCTGCTCTTGATTGTTGAAAGGCGCCTTTGCATTCAGACAACTATTTCTTTTATCTGTTTTTTTTAAAGCTGGGCCTTGAACGATTGCACAGCGTTGCGATCCTTGGGTTCAATTCCGCGGAATGGTTCATCTCGGCTGTCGGAGCAGTTTTTGCCGGGTAAGGTGTTGAAGACGTGAGCAGCATATATTTCCAGAGCTGTTGTTTGTTGAGGGATCTACCTGGCCCTCTTTGCAACAGTGGATATACATATCCTTTTATTATATATTATTCACTTTTTCCATTTCGATGGTTGTGACTTGGATTTTGGTGAGCCACTTCATTTGCATGTGGGGGCTAAATGGAAGTGGCACATCTAGTATACACACATTTACTCGTGAGCAAGCAGCACTGAATGTATCAGGAATGACTTCTGAGTAAATGTGCAGAAGTTTGCAGGGCCCCATAATTAGAGACATCGAGAGAGCAATTATCATTGTCATAACAACTGCTTGGAGCTGAGAGTCATTAGCAAGCGTGGACCTGACGAGATGAACCATGCAACACTCCTATAACGCCTGGCTTTCCTTTCTAAAAAAGAAGCATTGCTTTCCCTCAGTGGCATCGTTACTGGGATCTACACGACCAGTTCCCCAGAGGCCTGCCACTACATTGCCCAGGACTGCAGAGCCAATATCATTGTAGTCGAGAACCAGCGACAACTGGACAAAATTATGCAGGTAGGAGAGGCCGCCTTCTTCCGGAAGAACCTTTGCTCGTGCAGCTGCCCTGCCTGGTCTAGTGTAAGGCGATCCAGATGTGGGCTTCCACTTGGCGCCCTCCCATGTTGTCCCGCTGCTTCCTCTGCCGCTGCTCTGCCCAGCCTCCAGATCTGATAAGGAGGGCCAGATGGGAAAGTTCACAATGTTCTCCAACCAGCCTCTCCCGGATCCCTGTGCAGAAGCACCCGTGCTGCTGATGTTGCTCCCGGCACCTGTCCGTGGTCCCAGTCAGGTCGCCGTGCCCTCTTCTGGGGTTCTGCAGTCCCCTCCCCCTCTCTCCCTCCCCCCACCCCATTTTCCATCCCATTGCAGCAATCACAGTTTTGGATGGAAAACCCCAAGGTTTAGGGCTTCCCCAGGCCTCCTAAGAGCTCCCTCTTAAATGGGGCTGGTGTAATTTTCGCAGAATTCTAGAAGAGAAGAGCTGGAAGGGGCCATGAAGGCCATCAAGTCCACCCCGCTGCTGTTGCAGGACACCAAGCCACACCATCCCACTCAGGTGGCTGCCCAGTTGCATCAGGAATGCCTCTAGTGTTGGAGAACCCTCAACTTCCCTGGGTCACTGATTCCATTTATTTGTTTATTATTTAAAGCTTTTATATCCCATCCAACTACTAGCGTCTCAGGACGGTTTTACAATAAAAGCAACACAAATGGCATGGAACACAGCATCCAATGTGTCCAGTATAATAAAACCCACATTAAAACCTATTAAACATAATAATAATGGGAACATAAAAAGGGAATGGGAATAATGGGAAGTAATAAAATAAATAATGGGAAAATAAAATTCCATTGTCATACTGCTCTCACAGCCAGGAATTTCTTCTGATGTTCCGCCGGAATTTGGCTTCCTGGGACTTCAGCCCATGTCCTGCTCTCTGGGATGATCTGAAAGAGATCATGGCCTTCCTCTTTGTGATTCCCTTTCAAGAACTTGTAGGGTGGTATCCTATCTCCCCCGAGTCTTCTTTTCACACCTGAATATGGCAGTAACATAATACCCAGGAGATTTTGTAGTGCAAACTGGGCCTTAAAAGCACTAAAGGTCATCGTCTCGCTCCCCAAGTTTGCTTTGTCTTTCTGGAGTCGTTTGTTCCCCAGATGAATGTCTCATGTTTTGCTCCCACCTGCCAGGCTTATAGGCAGGAAACCCAAAGTCTTACTGACACTCAGTTAACCACACCGACTGGATTTGTAAAGTATTTTATCTGCATCTCAAAGTGAGTTAGTGTGTTTGTGTGTTTGTTTTTCATACACATGATGCAGATCTGGGATCGCCTGCCACACTTGAAGGCGGTTGTGATGTACAAGGGTCCTGTGCTTTTGAAATGTCCCAATTTGTATACGGTATGTACCCGGAATTATTATTATTATTATTATTAGAACATTTCTATGCCGCCCCTTGCCGAAGCCTCGGGGCAGCTTACAACACAAAAGCCAAGGAATTAATGGAATCAAAAGCCATGCAAATTATTTCAGTTGCTATTGATTTGATCCATTTCTTCCTATTCCCTTTTCACCATCTGAAAGCAAATAAAAGTAGTTTCAAGGGGAGGCAATTAAAAAGAAACAAGCTGAGGGAGAAAGTGGGTGAGTGAGAGAGAGACTAGAGGGAGACAGCGAGGTGGGAAGTTTTAGTGGCTTACAGTAGATACAGTTTTTATGCTAGCCAGCTACTTTCTGTTTTTGTTGAACTTTTACGGTATCTAAGAAACAAGAAGCTATGCGTTCCATCAGGACCTAACCGAAGGCTGGTCAAGATCCCACTGGTTTCTAGTGCATTGTCTTATGTTCTACTTTCCAAATGTTGAACAATTACAAGACCCCCCAACCCTCCGGAGAAAGAAAGAGCTGCTTAAATTAGGCCTCAGCCATTATAGGTGACCTATAAAAACATGTATAAATAAATAAAAGAGTGCCCCAAAGCTGAAGTTTTCTGGGTGGCGCATGATGCATCAAACAGGCAAACATTAAAACACAACATAAAAACAGTGCAGAGTAAAACCAGGATGAAACTGGCAACCACATGTTTCGCAGGGAGCGCCGCTTCACACTTCGCAGCGGAACAAGGAACCTCTGGTCGGGCTCAGGTGTGGGGGACAACCTGGCGCGCCCCTTTCTCTCCGCCTCGTTCACTTGGTGGTTTCTCAGCCCGTGTGCGGTTTCCCTTCCTAGCAAGTCGAATCATTTCTCTTAAGGCTGAATTATTGGCAACAGGACCATTGAGCAAAAGGAGTGGGTATTTTTGCGATTTCGGGGCCTGCTCCTGGGAACGTGGTCCTGAGAGCCTCTCTCAACCGGAATTCACCTCTCAGGGGAAAGAAACTCAACACCCCGTGCTGGAATTTTACACGGGAAAAAGTGATGTGAAATCCAGTGGCTTTTTGCTGCTTCTGTAGCCTCTTGGCTACGTGGAAGTGCAAGAGCAGCAAAAGGATACATGCCTCTGGCTCTTCTTCATGGAATCCTCTGCAGAAGAGCACTGTCATATTTTCCTTTCGCTCTTGGCTCTTTGGACATGCGCCAGCCTTTTCGAATAGAGGCATTCCATGTCAGGGGAACTGGAAGCTTTCTTCTGCTGCAGAAGCTGGCCGAGAGAGCAGCAACCAGGCAACTGGGAGCAAACGGATTAACACGTCATAGAATGGCAGAGAGGTTTGGTCAGGGTGATACAGTATAAAGTGTCAACGTACTGGAGGGCAAATCCTTTACGCATGACCAGAGAAACTGTCTCCGGTGAGCAGAGAAGGACACCAGCTTATGCAGACCAATATCGTCCACCCTCAAAATGAACACCGTTTGAGAATCCTTAGTGCAAATTTCCTTAAACCTAGCTCCCCAGAATACTTTAAAACGGTGTGGATTAAGTCAGCATCACAGTGACCCTTTCCAGGCCAAAAGGTGCTAGTTCTGATTGCTATAGGGCCAAGTTGATCGAGGAATCAGCATTTTGGCTGACTAATCTGATTAATCAATGAGTTAAACCCTCTGAGGCTGAAATGCGGTTCACACTTATTAGTGCATCAGACCAATTGAAACGAGTGGTACCTGCTTCTGAGCACTAGATCATCAGCGCTAGGTCAGTGGTCTGGTTTGCACAACGGAAGGCAGAGGAAGCGAAAGCAATGAGCCACCTCTGCAGGCTCCTTCAGCACCCTCCATCTTCAGAAATTTAGCCGGGGAGTCCCAGAAACTGGGCCCTTTGAGTCATCACACTCCAAATCTGCAACGGGGTTGCTTCCAGGTGGGACTTTTTTGATTCCTTCTCCATCAGTATTTACAGGAGGGCTGGTACAGTCCTCTTCTACTTGTGACCACCCTCCTGTGTGTTCTTACTGCCCCTTCCACCTGCTCCGTGCCCTCTGATCACCTGCACTGGGAGCATCCATCCAGAACACGGGCGGCTTTTATACAAATTTAATCAATAAATGAATAAACACCTGGAAACACCTCGCTGTATCTAGTCCTTCCGTTGCCTCTTTTAAGACAGTCACTGCCTGGTTTTCTTCTAGCAAGCTTTTGTGATTTTTTGCCCTGTGGTCTATTTGCTGGATAGTACTGCCTCTTTAGCGGTTTTTCGTCTTTTTTCATTGGCGGATTATAATTCGTTGTTTTGTTTTTATGAGTAGGAAGTGCAGGGAAGTGGTGCAGTTCACGCTCGCCTCCAAAGAGGACTGCCAGTCAGCCTTCCTCTAGGTTACTCTACAAGGTTCAGGCTGGCATAGTAGGGGAATGAAGAGAATCCCAGTACTGCACCATCGCGTTCCAGACCGTGGCTTGTTCTAGGGTTTCGGGGTGGTTTGGAAGCCCTGCTCACTGCCCACCCTTGCTGGGTTCAGACAAAGCAACAAGCTGCGCCTGGTGGGGGTGATTCTGGAAAGGAGGTGGTGCGTGAGTGGGCTGGGGAAAAGAGACCGGTTTGGCTTCTTTCCCTCGCATGTCATCCAAGTCCGTGATGTCAGCTGGAGGTTTCTCCTGTGCACCTTTGCTCTGTAGATGGATGACTTTATGGAGCTGGGCAACACGGTCCAGGACGAAGAGCTGGATGCGGTCATCAATGCCCAAGAGCCGAATCAGTGTTGTGTCCTGATATACACGTCCGGGACGACTGGAAAGCCGAAAGGCGTGATGCTGAGCCACGACAACGTACGTATTTTAGGCGTGCCCTTCCGGACGCACGTGCCACGAAGTCACAGTGCAGCCCACTTCGTCTGTGCCTGTGTGTGTGTTAGTGAAAAGGTGTATACAGTTATAACAAGGGCGTGAGATGACCGTCTTGGATTGGTGGGAGGCGTTGCACCTCTTTCTGGCCAGGAGTGAAACTGTTTCGGAGCCACCCTGCAGGCTCCCTTCCATTGGTGGGCAGAACCAAAGGCAACGGGTTTGGGTCCAGGTGGAGGTTCTGTTCTAGCCCCTTCATCATTTTGGTTGCCCCTTTGGGTGCTCCTCTTCCAGCCTTCAATATCCTTCGGAGACGGCACAGCACGTCAAATTATATACTGGCTTGGTTTGTGTTTATGATGGTGTTTGTTTATCACTGGTTGATTATTATGTTGCCTCTATTATTTTTATTGCCACTGCTCGTTTGTTTACATGTGCGCTGCAAATTCTGCTGGATTGTTGGTGGAGCAGATCATAAACGTATCTATTTATTTATCAATGTCTTTATATTTATTCATATTTATTTACCGAGAAGTGACGTGCCAGTAATGAGTGCATACATGTGTGCACATGTGTTGGAGAGGGGAGGGGACCATCCAGGTTTGCCATTTCAGACATTGATTGATTGATTGATTGATTGATTGATTGATTTATAGCCTGCCTTTTTCCTGCAAGAGCTCAAGGCAGCTGACATCCTTCTCCTCCTCCATCTTCTCCCCACAACAACAACCCTGTGAGGTCAGCTGGGCTGAGAGTCTGTGACTGGCCCAGAGTCACCCAGTTGGTGACTTTGGGCCAGACATTTCAGACATTCCCTAGTCCTGCACACCAAGCTTCTTCAAAGATACTGGATTTAAGGCCAAGTAAGCCAGTAATACACAGAGGGTCCTAGATTCAGTCTCTGGTATTTCTAATTCGAAGGACTGGATAGCCCACGTTGGAAACCCTTCTCTGCCTGAGACCCTGGGGGAGAATCTGCCGCCCAGAGCAGGCAATATTGGGCTAAATGGACAGACCATCTGCCCTAGAGGAAAACCGCTTCCTGTCTCCTTAATAATGGAAGATGGATGCAGCGTTAGTGACGCCTCTTTCTTTGCGTACTTTCTGTTCTGGTTGGCCAAGTTCTTCCCAACTACTGTTTGCAAAGAGGCTATTTTTAACTCCATCCTCACCCTGGAAAATATCCTTTGCCCATATCTGTATCAAGGCCCTCTTTAGTAAAAGATGTTCTCCTCTGTCTGATCAAATTCTGATCCGTCCCAGCTCTTAACCACCCCTCTGCTTGACAGATGATGCATGGAATCATATTTAGATGCTCAGCAGACACGGAAGTTTCAGGTTTAGCAGGAAGCGTCATTCCACGGACACTTCTCCCCACTTAACCTCGACTTCTGACTATTCTTTCATGTCTCACACACCACGACGCTTCCCATTTTCACATCATCCCTATTCATGTCGTTTACCTTTCTGCACTGATGTAAAAAAAAAAAAATTAAAGGAAGAGGAAAAAATGGCCAACGTCCTCCTACACAGGCAACAGAGACCAGCCTATCAACAGAAAATAGGTTACTAGTCATTTTAATTAGTGGTCCGCTCTGGAATTATTCAGACTGCTTCAGGTCTTCTTCAAATTTAGCACAAGGCCCCTCCCCCGGGTTAGTTTTGATCATCCAAGTCCATTTACTTCAAAAGTGCCAAAACCTGCAGCTTAATATACCACCCTCGATTCTTGGGATCTAATTACACGTCCAGAGCTCCCCAGTACTTTACATCACAGGAGTTCAGGTTGATGTTTGTTGTATAAACACACGAGTTCTGGTGCCAGATGAGATGGCTGTGACAGAGCCTCTGACCACACTGGACTTGGCACCGTCCTTCCTACGCCGGGGAAAATTCCATCCTCCTTACAATGGCTTCTAAATTTGCTTCTTTGCTGCTTTAACACTGCAACCGGAGTCTTGTTTTGTGTCTGTTGTTTAAGAAAGGATTGTCTAAGTCAGTTTATTGTTGGCAATGCAGTGCAGCTAATAGGCTTTTAAGCATATGATTTAGCAATGTCAACCCATTAGTTATCTTTGGGAAGTGGATAGTATACAGATAAAGTCTGTACTGGAACCGTCTTTGATATTTACTGACATACATGCTTTTTGGTATTACTTACCTGCTTCATGGAAATTAACAACTGAGTGTAAATGGATTTGGGGAACCTCTCAAGGCTTTTTGCAAAGGGGGCGGCATAAAAACGCTTTAAATAAACAAACAAATAAATAAATAATAAAAGTCTGCTATTGGAAGGATAAAGGCTTCCCTTCTGTAATGCAATGGATGGAGGGCCTTACAACATTTGGATGGGGGCATGTAGATGCTGCCTCCAAAGGGATACTGATTTGAATATTTATTAGATGTATATGATTGATTGATTGAAAACATTTGTATGCCACCCAGTTGTGCCACAGCGGCTCTGAGTGGCTCACAACATGAGATAAAAACACAATAAAAGGTAAAGGTAAAGGTTTCCCCTTGACGTGACATCCAGTCATGCCTGACTCTAGGGGGTGGTGCTCATCTCCGTTTCCTGGCCGAGGGAGCCAGCATTTGTCCCCAGACAGTCTCCGTGGCCACGTGGCCGGCATGGCTAAACACCGAAATGCACGGAACGCTGTGACCTGCCCACCGAAGTGGTACCTTTTCATCTACTTGCATTTGCATGCTTTGAACTGCAAGGTTGGCAGGAGCTGGGACGGAGCAACGGGAACTCACCCCGTTGTGCAGATTCGAACCGGCGACCTTTCGATCCACCAGCCCAGCAGCACAGCGGTTTAAACCACTGCGCCACCTGCAGTCCCTTGGAAAAACACAATAAAACATAATAAAAACCATAACACATTACACCTTAGAAACAAAAATAAAATACCTAAGTCGTCCCTAACTTGTTTGTGCTTCTTTGGGCAGATAACTTGGACATCAGCACATGCCAGCCAAGCCGGGGACATGCAGCCAGCCGAAATCCAGCAGGAGACCATCGTCAGTTACCTTCCGCTCAGCCACATTGCTGCCCAAATATACGATCTCTGGACCGGAATCAAGTGGGGAGAGAAGGTTTATTTTGCAGAACCGGATGCCTTGAAGGTACAAAATGCGTGCTGGAATTCATAGCAATTTTGGTGCAGGCTTTTCAAACACAGTCTCAAGTGGATGTGGAAATGGGATGAAGCCGTTTTAAAGCGGGGAAAATGAGAACCTGGCATTGGCCCTTACTCCATCCTCAGTGAGAGCTCTTCTTTCCACCTATTCGGAGGAGTTTTGCCTCCAATTTGCAAGATATTGCTATCACGATGAATAGCCATTTAGCCTGATTAATATCAGTATCCTCTGTGACTGTATCTGTTCCCATTTCGCCATACTCTAAGCTGGTGGCTGAGAGCACATCATGAGACAGCAAGTTCCATTTGGCCACTATGCAAAGAAGTCCTAACCCGAATTTTGCCTAACCCAGATCCTCCTTTGCCTTTGTAGGGAGGCCTGGTGGACATCCTGAAAGAGGCCCTACCCACTTCACACATGGGAGTCCCCCGGGTGTGGGAGAAGATCATGGAGAAGATCAAGGATGTCTCTTCTCAGTCCGGTTATGTGAAAAAGAAGATGCTCTCCTGGGCGATGTCAGTCAGCTTGGAGCAAAACCTGAGCAGCTCAAACAGGTATGCGTTGCCAGATGGAAAAGCAAGGTTTTTCCAGGTTACCCCTCCTCCAAAGCAATCTCGTGGGCAACAGAATTATGTTCTCTGTTCCTGTGAGCCAAACTGGGCCTGATTGGAGTTTCAGGGAATTATTCCCTGGCTCCTCCTCCACCCAAGGGGAGCTGTGAGCAGGAGCAGACTCTGTGCATTTAACACGGTTGGGTTAAGCTGGGGTTAGGAAGCAGCCAGAACTCAGTGGTGGAGCACCTGCTCTGTAGGCAGATGAACCTGGGCTAGCGTGGTCCTGACATAGCTTGGCACAGAAGTCACGGGGAGACTGGCTGGAAAGGGCGCATCTTGTCCAGTGCAGCAAGCCCACGCTTGATGAAACAAGATCTAGGTAGGCAGTCTGTTTCCATAGGTCAGGCCAGGCCTGTCAGGATCCTGGACAGATCACTGACCACAAAGAGCCGTTGTCTCAGTAACAGACAGAGGCCTGAAGCTGCTGGTAACTCCACCCTCTCTGAGGAGCTGTCTGAGAAGTAGGCAAGAGCCATTGTCCAGGTCTTCAGCCATTGGCTGCTGTGGCATGGAATCTGAGGAATACCCTCGGGGTCGGAAGGGTCTGTTACAGCCATACTGTCCAGTGTGGAAGGTCCTGGAAGAGCAGGTGATGAACTGCTGCATGAAGCCTTCTCTCCATCTCTGTGAGCCACAGGGGGGTGGAATTGAGACTGGGGAACATGCCAACATGGAGGGATCAAGCAGCAGGGGATGAGAAAGGCCCTTGCCGGAGTGCTGCTGCCAGTCATCGCTGACAACACTGAGCTAGATGACAAATAGTTTTCCAGGCAGATTCCACTGAAACTTGGTGCTGGTTATGCACCACGCTCTTTTTGCCATCTCCATCCATATTGTAGCCCTTCCTGCCTCTTTTTCTGTATCTTAGAAACTGCTCTTATTCCCTCTGCATTCCTTCCTTGGTGCGTCCTTCTCTCCTGTGTTCCTCAGTGATCTCAAGCCCTTTCGAATGAGACTGGCGGATGCCTTGGTCCTTGCTAAAATACGGCATGCCTTGGGCTTTTCCCACTGTCAGAAGCACTTCTGTGGGGCTGCACCTCTTTCTACGGAAGTGCTGCAGTTCTTCCTTGGCCTGAACATCCCCCTGTATGAAGCTTACGGGATGAGCGAGACCACCGGTCCCCATTGCATGTCTGGGCCACACGTTTACCGACATTACAGGTAAAAGCTTAGCAAGGTTTGTTCCAGCAGGGTGGCCAAAACGATCTTGCTGTGAAGGCTGGCAAACAAGCCACTGCATGGCAGAGTTGCTAACATAGTATTCCAGGGCTGGTGCCAAAGGTCAGCATTCTTGGGTTCCAACTCACCCCCTGACACCCCCATAGGCTCACACGTGCCATTCCCTGAAGGATTTGATAGAAGTCTATTTTTCCTCCTGTTGCAGAGGCTGTCAGTAAGCCGCAGGTTAGCTCTCCCTCACCCATTTTTCTGGAAGGCAAGGGGGTGAAGCTGCTTCAGTAAAGCAAAGTTTGGGTTCTCACAGCAAAAGCAGCACTTGTCTAAGGCTATTATTTCTGGTGCTCTTCCTAGCAGGCTGAAGGCTCTAATGCCTTGGCACGACTCATAAAGCTCCTTCCTTTGGAGAGTACAAAGTTCACTATTCTATTTGTTGAGCTTTTGTTCTTTTGGTAGAGCCCATCCAATATATTAACTTTTAACATTTGAAAATACCAATTGTGTACCTTCAAAGGTTTTCTTGCTATGTTGACTTTCCTCTCCAGTGCCCTGGAAGCTGAGAAATTCTGGAGCATGGCGCACGAAAAACAGCTGGCTACTGTTTTCTATCTGGCAGGACTCATCTTTCTTCAAGCCCCTTCCCCGCAATGCTCTAAAGCTTCGAGGATACTGGGGCACGTCCACACTGGTGTCAAGAACCCTTTTATTTTATTTTATAATTTAACAGAATTATTTTTAAATTCCTTAAAATGGGGGATAGCAAGGCTGTTTGGGCCCTAGACATACCTTGGGGTGATGCAGACTTGGCTCCGGGATGCGTGTAGGCACTGCATTGATGCCAATGCCTGCTCTTTGGATTTTTGATGCTGTTGGTGCTGCTGCAGTGGGATTCTCCTCTCTTGATCCTTTCCTTTTCAGTTGTGGGAAGGCAGTCCCTGGTTGCAAAGTGAAGCTAGTCAATGAGGATGAAGATGGTAATGGGGAGATTTGCTTCTGGGGACGGACCGTGTTCATGGGTTATTTGAACATGGAGGACAAGACCCGAGAAGCGATCGACGAGCACGGCTGGCTGCATTCCGGAGACCTTGGAAAGATCGATCAGGATGGGTTTGTTTATGTTACTGGAAGAATTAAAGGTGATATACTACTTCATTATGCTTCTACATGAGGCATTTGTTTTATGCTAATTTCCTCTCCTTGTGGCCCTTCTTTGCTTTTCTGTTTGGCGGTCAGCTCCTCGGCCACCCTTGCCAAATTGTCCTTTGGATTGTCCTGGCCTGACCCCTTTTGGTGGTTTTGCAGATGGCACTTCGCTACAGAAATCCGTGCAACGTTCGTGAGACCAACTCGCCCGCCGTGTGGGGAAGCGGCCTTCCTCAGCCAGCAGAGGGCCGCTTCGTCCGTAGTCCCACTCTCCCCAGTTCAGCCCTGGGCACTGCCAGATAAAAAGACCACTTGGCAGGTGGCGAGGCAGATGCTCCTTCGCCTAAGGTCTTGGACTGCCAAGGCCGGACTAGGCAGAGCCGTTAGACAGACGAATGTCCACGTCTTGCCAGGACAAGGTCTGACTCCCCAGTGCGACTGGCTGTGGTGCTTGATCATGAATAGCTCCCGCTGCCAATAGGCTCATTTCCACAGCAATTGCAGAGATCCTTCTAACCTCCGGTCTAGTTTGTCTCGCAGGCTGCTTAGCCTGTTTTCTGCGCGTAACAACAGAACATGCTCCGGCTTGGCCCTTTTGGAGAACTGCTTCTTCTTTGTGTGTGGTCTGCAGTAAGTTGGTTCATGTTCCTAGAGCTCATCATTACCGCCGGGGGGGAGAATATCCCTCCGGTCCCCCTCGAAGATGCCGTGAAGAAGGAGCTGCCGGCACTTATTAGCAATGCGATGCTGATTGGAGACCACAAGAAGTTCTTGTCCATGTTGCTGACTTTAAAGGTACAGGGAACAAACATGCTTGTATTTATAAAACTGGCTTGTACATTTGCAGCATTTTAGTTAAGAGTAGTCCCCCAAAGTAACTGACAGCAGGATCAACAAAGGAAAGGCAGCGGAGATCAGCTGTTCAGGGCCAGAACAGAAACAGAACAATGACTACAGTTGGGCATTTGCAATCTGTTTCGGTCAGAACAATTGTTACTTCTTGGAGTTTTTGCTTCCCAAGCAATTGGTAACTCTCATTGCTTTGGCCAGTGCATGCGTCCATAGTGCATTTCCTCCTTGGGGATGATGGGCTTTGCAGTCCAACACATCTGGAAGGCACCAGGTTGTGGAAGGCTGTTGTAGCACGAATACACGTGCAAACTTCATTTATCCCATCAGGCTCGTAAATACGAAAAGGCTCTGCGTTTTCTTCCAGTGCACGCTGGATCCTGATACATCGGAGCCGACGGACTGCCTGACCCAAGAAGCCAGAGACTTTTGCCAGAAAGTTGGCAGCAAAGCCACTCAAGTGTCCGAAATTATACGGCTGAAAGATCGCGCTGTCTACCAGGCCATCCAGAATGGCCTAGACCGCGTTAATGCGCGCGCAGTCGCCAATGTTCAGCGCATCCAGAAGTGGGCAGTCCTCGGAAAGGATTTTTCCATTTCCGGTGGAGAATTCGGTAAGTCTTCCTATTGCTGGGCGACCCTCCAGATTTGTGCAGGAAGAGAATAGCTTGCCGTCTTTGGCTGAGGTTGCATGTCACGGAATGGCCATGAGCCAGTGGTGGCTTAAGCCAAGCTCCTCTTGGAGGATTCTATGAATCTGCATTGGGCATTTACTCCATTGAGGGACCTAGCAAGCTTCCTCATACTGTGTGGACCACTCGCCCATCGAGTCCAGAACTGCTGACTACTGGCCAGCAGAGGCGCTCGGAGTTCAGGAGGGGTCTCTCCCCCTCCACCCAATATGGAATTGCCAGGGACTGTTGCCAAAAAGCTGGACTCACACGTGGCAAACGGAATCTGAGAGCATCTGCTGGTAAAGGCTGTCGTAATATACGTCTGGATCAGATTGCAGATTACCTTTTCTTGTTGAGGGGGAATAAAAATATCCCTCTATTTCCATCTTTAGGAAAACAGTAGTAAATTTGCACAACAGAACAAACAAGAAATCATGTGGGGATTTTTGCATTTTGTATGTTTCTTTTCATTTACACTTGCTTTAACTTGAAAAAAGAGACAAGGGAACAGGAAATTACCTGTTGTCGTGCTTGCAAAATAGCAGAAACATGTCTCTGGAAGCTTTCTGCTCTGATATATGCATCCAATAAAGTGGAAGGACACATTCTGGGATGGAGTCCAGCAGAGAGGTGCTACAAGCATCTCTTAGAAGCAGGTCTGGAAGGTGATGGTCCAAGCGGAAGATTTTTTTAAATCCACCCATTCCATAAACATCTCCCCTACATCAACCTGCTGATGGTAGTTCCCTTCCTTTTTAGGTCCAACCATGAAATTAAAGCGGCAAGCTGTTGTTGAGAAGTACAAAGATGAAATCGATTCCTTTTACAAAAACTGAAGTTGGCAGCACAGGACAGCTGCCCAGACTCCGCTGCAGCATCTAATAAACCTCCACTGTGTGCTATGCAAGAGCTTCCTTCGCTTGTTTACGCAACTGTCATTTGGAAGAGAAGCATTAGATACTGCCATGTTTTAACAGGCTAGAAGGATGTCGTTCACCTCACTTAAGTGCCTTTCTTCTGAATGTGGTCAATTTGACGTTTGCCGCTCGAGAGAGCTGCTGCCAGCCCCAATACGCTTTCTAGTCAATGTTGATGCTCATTTGGTGCATAAATGCTGGAAACAGAATGAAAATAGTCTTAACTCTGCGGGAAGTAGCACTTGTTACAAGGTTTAAAAGCTTCTCTCTTCTGGCAAATGAAACCAAACGTATTTATTTGTACCAAATATACAGGGGGTTTTTATGCCATAGATACAGGCTGCTTTTAGGCAGTAACCAACAAATGAAAAAGGTGAATCACGCCATGGGAAGACGACTCAAATTTTGTAGGGCAGGCAGGATGAAAACCAGGTGTGGGATGAAAAACAGCTGCCATAAACGGAGTTGAACGCATGGGGCCTTCCAGGCCCATGTTTATTATTCCAGCCTGCAGCAGGCTGCATGTTAAGCTCCTTTCTAGTCCTGCTATCCAAGGTTCTTTTAGCTGCAGATTTTAACCTGAGGTGTTCCAGATGCAAAGCGTGTTGTTCCATCCCTGAACCGTGGGCCTCCCCGGAAAAATAAAGCCTTGCTTCATGATGCAAGGTATACTTTTGAGTTCGGGATGGTTTGATTGCAGAACCTGGGGCCAAGAGCAGGTTGTCCATATATTTTACGCAGTGTAACTGGGCCAGGGTGCCTGTATTCCTTAACGCTGTAGGATAATGCAATATATTTCCCCCTTCCCAGCACTATTTAAGTGCAGGATTTTCAGATGAGCAAAGGTGGCATGTTTCTAGCAAAGCTCAACCAGGAGAACGGTTAGGCTTCCAGGCCTTAGCTGCGTTTTCCAGGCCAAATCTGCCTGCAGGAAAGCACGCTAGACCCAGGCTCCGCCTTGGCTGTAGGACTCCCCTTATAAGCTGGATCAGGCCTAGCATTCTGCTGTAAGCACAAAAACGAAAGCCGAGTGCCTTTGGCAGATCTTTATTCGTCCTTGCTTTTTGCACAAACGGTACCTCTGTTTGCTTAAGTACAATCCAAGACACAGACAGAAGCAGCAGCAGCAGTAAATAAAACAAAAACCAAAACGTTACGTTAAGCGAGAGCACTGTTCCCAAGTTCGCCAAGAAGCCCCTATTTTGGCATATGAGAGTTACCCTTACAGTACGAAATGCCTCTGAGTGCAGAAGCGAACACAAACAAAAGACTTAGCTGCCCAAATGTCGTTGCCGCGCCACTGCTTCTAGTGGCTTGCACAATGAATGGGGAACCGTAGGGGCAAGTCGAAGCTCTCCCGAAAGACTTAGACTTGCTGTGTCTGAAACGGTAAGCGAGACGGGCAGGGCCAGGCATGCTGCTCCTATCGGCCCTTGCGTGTGGGTCAGGAGTTTATCCCTCGCCATGGAGAGAATCTAGGTGTGGAATTTTCCCAAGAAGTTCAGGAAGCTTGTGCCTCGTATGCCTAAAACATCAGAGTGGGGAAAAATCGTGGCTTTCAGCGCCTTTCTGGTAAAGCCTCGACATCCCAACATTTCCTGTTATTAAGGGCTGCAAGTAGACAGGATGGGGGATATTCCGGTGCCTCCAACAGCATCTCTCGCTTCCCTCCGTTCCTACCCAGTGACACCAACTAACACAACGCACAGGGTGTGTTGTGTACTACCCTGTCCCTGCTTCTGCTTCATCCAGTGCTGCTTGAGGAGTAGCAGATGGATGGTGTTTGGTTTTACACAAGGTTTGTGTAATACACAAACAAGTATTACACAAGGTTTGTGTTTGGTATTACACAAGGTCACTGGGAGAGAAAGAGACGCAAGACTGCTGGTTTCAGCGGGAGTCGAGAGCCTCTCATCACATCTGGCCTGAGTTGCCAACACAATCTCATTCACCTTCCATTTGAATGGCTGGAGATCCATTAATTACCGAATAGCAATATTTAAACAGAAACTAAAGATTATTATATTACATAAACTTGAGCATAATAGAAAAGGCCTTCCGATACAGCAGTAATGGCAAATTATATATTTGATGTCTATCTAATAAACAGATAAGCTGCGTCCAAATCTGCAGAAGACAAAAATCAATTTGCATCAACTAACTTTCATTGAAGAAGCCAGAGGAGGTGAAAGGTGATGTGTAGACAAACCGTGGTTTATTCGGATGTGTGGCCAAGTTTTAATAGTGTCCCTTCAACCCCCAAAGATAGTACATCTTGCAATTTATAGACAATAATTGAAACTTTTTAAAGTTTTTCCACAGTTTCAAGTATTTATTCAAGCTTTTGAAGGACAAGTTTCAGGTGCCAGGAGCAGAGGAAAAGAACTTCCTTGTGGCAAATTGTCTAGCCAGTTTAATAGAAGTCTTTTTGCTTTACAAAAATATCTTGTGCTTTCTGAACGTAGAAAAGCTTCTGCGTTCCTTATAGGTAACAGAAAGCTAGAATAGAGAGCCTCCTTTTTAAAGTTGTTGTGATAAAAACCATACATCTGGGAAAGTTAAAATCAAATGTTTCCAGAAAGTAGGATGGCTCATAATGGATGATGGTTGACCATCATCTGTTAAAAGGAATTTATTTCTGCAAAAAATTGTGCAATGTAATAAATAAACAGAGCAAGCACTTGGAAAAAGTCCACCAAAAGCAGGCACAGGAATAATTGCATCCATTTGCGCTGGATTTATTAACCAGGATGCCCCCTGCCTAAAAGTTTGCTTTCCTCTAGGGAATGGATAAAAACTGCAGACGGCTAAAGCACTTTAACAGCATCCATCAGGAACAACCGAAACCAGTAAGATAGGAAGACACCTTATTGCGTGTCCCTCACTCTGCGGCAGATTTCTGCTGTGAACTCCGAGCACTTTGCATTGCCTCCCAAATCCTTGGTCAAGACCTAAAATAGCAGAGATACAGAGTGGGGAAAAGGAGAAATTGCACATCATTAAACTGAAGAGCTGAACTGCCTTGCTACAACCCCACAGCCACGTCCCGACTTGAATTCAGAACACTGGAACCAGGCTCGGCCATCTTTAGACGGACCCATTCAAAGCAACCCGATTTAGATTAGTCATGGATCACTTCAGGTTGATTTCAGTGGGGCTACTCTAATGTTGGCTAAATCTGGATCCATGCATCAGTCCACTGTGTGGCCACAAAACCCACTTGTCTGGAGTTTGACGCCTTCTGCAAGAGGTAAAACCTTATTCTGCCCCCGTCCCTTGAAGGGCACCCATGAAAAATTGGAGGTCTTTGTGTCTTGACCTCAAAACATGGATTTTATCTGCCTTACTGCCCTGGTAACCTCCCAATTAACAGATCTTGCTAGCAGCAAAATTGCATACTAGAAACTGCCAAAAACAACGAACATTGGAGACTTGCCACAACCCAGTTAATTTAAGGGGAGGGTCTGGGGGTTTAGACCTAGAAGAAGTTGGAAACAAGTCCAAAGCAAAGGGCGCTGGACAACAAGAAGCCTTCCAAGGAATTCTCCACAAAGGTTACTGTGCGTGCTCTGGTTCTATCGGGATCACACCTACTGCAGGAATCACATCACAAGGTATACCTTCCCATCTTTGATCGTGGCGAAGCATGCATCTTCTATTTTGGTGGCATATTCCTGCATCCCCATGTGACGCAGCATCATCACCGCACTCAAGAGAAGCGCCGTTGGATTCGCCAAGTCTTTCCCAGCTATGTCCGGAGCTGTCCCGTGAACCTACGAAAAGGAGGAATGTCTGTCACGCTGACTAATCTGTGCCCTTGATCTTAGTCAAAAGGCTGAAGCGCAATGATGTGTTTCTCTCGATAAAGAGCTGTTCATCCGGCACCAGCGGTTCAGCTCTGGGGGTCGATGCATCCTTTTTCGCTTTCCTTCAAAGCCTACTAAGTGTCAGCCAAAAGGCTTCACGTGCAACAAGAGGTGGGGTTTTCCTTCTGAGCAGGCTTCCCGAAGGCGGTAAGACGCTGTGCGTGATGGCTACTCCCCTGCTGCTGAAGAAACGAGGGAGGGCTGCAAGACCGGCTGAGAAAGTGAGAAGCCTTCACCTACCCCATCTCTTGGTCATGCCAAGTGTGACCAAGATACTCTTTCCAAGGACGGAAGATGCCAGCACAAAGCTATCGAGAGCGAGTGTGCTGTGGCAGACAGTGTTGGGCTGGGGACCTGGGAGATGCGGGTTTGTCCCCATTTGGCCATGCAGTGAGACTTAGGGCCAGCCTGAGCTACATCATAGGGATGTTAGGATAAAATGGAGTTACGTAACCTTCCCTGGGCTTCTCACAAGAGAGAAAAAAAAAGTGGGATATAAATGCAATGGAATAATAATAAAATAATAAGGCTCTTGTTCACATGAATAATATGCTTAGCAATGTCCTGTAGAGTCTTTCTATACAAGAAGAGCTAGTAATCTGCTAATGGTAAGTTTCTTTCAAAAATGAAAATATATCCCATTTAGGAGACTAAAGGTGCCCTTGACAATCCTGCCCTTGATAATGAGCTACTTTCAGCAATATGTACATCCATTGATTACAGGGATTTGAACAGCCCTGAAATGCACGGATTAAACCCTGAAGGCTGGAGGCACCTGCAAGAGCAGCGAATTATAGCGGATTCACAGGGCTGGGAGGCTCCAGTAAGGGCCTTGCTCCAGAATTTCATTTCACAGGAGAGACCTTACCGATTCAAAGATCGCCACTCCGTTAGCGCCAATGTTCCCGCTTGGCGTTACTCCGAGGCCCCCAATCAACCCTGCACACAGATCACTGGAAGGCAAATGCAAAGATCAGAAACAGGCCCATGCGTTAGGCCCTTCAGTATTCCCAAAAACCGGCGTGCCAGCGAGGGTGGCAGGGGCTCTGAAAGGATGAGCCAACAAGCATCGCTGAGGGGAAATGGACTGGGCCGGAGACTTGCTCCGGCTCCAGCCGACTTACCTAAGGATGTCGCCGTACAAGTTTGGCATGACAAGGACATCGAACTGTGACGGATCCTGCACCATCTAAGGGATAACAGAGAGGCCTCTGGTTTTAAGATGACTTGAAACCGCAACTATTAAACCCGACCACAAAGTTTGCTGCATACTCACATTCAGACACACAGTGTCGAGATACATTTCGTTAAACTTGATATCTTTACAGTTTTCTGCTGCTTCCCTGCATTTTTTCAGGAACAGTCCGTCAGACATTCGCCTGCAGATTAACAAGAAAGATAGCAACAGGTTAGGAGCCACCTGGATGAACCTCCTGGATTAATACTTCCTCCAGGAATGCTTCCACTTTAGGGTACTTCTGTACCTCAAATATAGCCTTTATATTAAGCAAGGTATTAACCTTTATAGTAGTCATCTAAAGGAACAGGGTGCAGACAAATCAAGATATTTTTGTGCTTTCTACCCTTAGGGACAAGTGGTCTTACCAGTAATATAGTGTCAGTTTTTCCATACTGTTCTTCCAAGCTGTGAAGTATATTTAAAATAAAAATCACACACAGAGAGCTCAGAATCCTGCATGGCCAGAATTCCTCGCATCTAATTCCTACAGCCTCTGCTCAAAACATTTTGCAGTAAAAAGGCCAGTGAAGGCAATTAAAAGTCAAAAGAGATCTGATCACAGGAGAAAAGGTTTCCAGGTTACATCAGAAGCTGGTCTCTTAGCATTCATGACAGCCAGAGTGGCATCGTGCTTAGAGTGCTGGGGGCTTTGGGAAGTTGGTTTTGATCTCCACACAGCTAGGAAACTGACTGGGTGACTTTGGGCCAGTCACCGGCTCTCAGCCTAACCTACCTCACAGGGTTGTTATGAGGATAAAATGGAGAGGAAGAGGATTATGTAAGCTGCCTTGGATTCCCTGTAAGAGGAAGAAAGGTGGGATATAAATGGAATAATAAAGTAAAAGCAAGGACAAGCCAGAAGGAGTGTGCAATGGAGTTCAAATGCTCCCATGGAAGGGCTCTGACCTTCCAGGACACTTTTGAGAGCAGAGTACTGCCCTAAAACTGACGCAAGATAACCACCTACCTAGCCAACTAACTCTCCAAAGTTTCCAAACAGAAATGTTAACTTCATACAGCTGAGAGCAATCATGTTTTAGTGACAGATCTGGACAGAAAAAAACGTCCTGCCACAACCGGCATGCCCCAGCCAGCCCTTGCACCATTAACATGTCGAACTGTCTTAAACTTCTTTAAGGCACAGAGTTTAAGCTTCAAGCAAAGTCCAGTGATGAAAAGTAGGGTGCATGAAATATATTGCTTCCACTGCTGGCAGTGCAATGTGGCAGCGGATCAGTACACGTTTCTCCATTAAACAGCCAGAGAAGTAAGGATTGCAAACATTAGCACTAGGTTACTCTGTTAAAATCACGTACATAATGTTTGCTTTATGCACAGCCGTAACTTTGCTTCTTTGATTGTTTCTGGCATACTCAAAAGCAAAGTCAGCAATACGTTTGCTTGCATCTTCTGTGATGAGTTTGATACTCTGCACGACGCCATCAACAATCTGAAAGACATACAAGAGTTATGTGGGTAGTAAAAAGCCAAGTTATTAAAAGACTCTGGATAGCTCCAGAAGGGTTTGATGAATCATCAAGCCTGCAGGACACTGTATTATTCAAAGTTAAATGTATCTGCTGTGATTAAGAGTTAATTTGTTTAAGTACTTCCTACTTCAGGCCATTTGTGTTATCTGGAAGGGTGAGATCTGCTTCTGCTCTCTGAACGTACCACATGCTCAATTCCGCTGTATTCGCCTTCCGTGTTCTCTCGTATTGTGACAATGTCAACATCTGTGTAAGGGGTTTTGTAGCCTTCGATCGACACACAAGGGCGGACATTGGCGTAAAGGTCAAATGTTTTACGAAGCAGCAGATTCATTGACGGGTGGCCAGCTGCTATGGGAGTTTTCAAAGGACCTGAAACAGATTCAGAACAGGTGGGCAAATTCCAGTTCAGAGCACAAACGTTAGATCCTTCTTATGTCATAGCAAAAGCATTTTTTTCTGCCACTCCCAAGTTAAATCTTTGGGTCTGAAGCTGGAGAAAAGGCCGTTCTCATGCCTTATTGATACTGGTTCAGTTCTAAGGAGATTGTTGCAACTTCCTGCGGAGTACGGCTTGCACTGTGAAGTTATCTTACAATGGGGATTCATTCTGGGAAAATGTTCCCCAACCTCGACTGTAGCATTTTAACAGGAGAGGAAGGTTTAGAATAGTTCTGTGGAAAGGCTCATTGGCTTATATTTATTCCCTGTGGTGTTCAGACTTTTTCCACTCTGGGATCTTTGTCAGTGGTTTCTGGAAGCTAGTAAAAGAGGAAGTGTGCAAGAGAAGCCGACAAGCTGGGACGGACTAGGAATGCAGGAAGCTGCCTTACACAAGCTCCCACTACTTGCCCGTCTTACATAGCGTATGGCTACTCTGACTGCAGTAGGTCTCCGGGGGTTCAGGAGGAGGGCTTTCCCATCACATGTGACTCGATCTTTCCTACCAGTGCTGCCAAAGACCGAGTCCACAACCCTCTGCAGCTACAACAGGTGCTCCGTTTCTGAGCTGTTGTCTCTCCAGCTCATCAGAGCAGGATGGGGAAGACTAGGCTAGGCAAATCCACCACCGCAGTTGAGTCTAGGGAGAAACAATGTCGGGGGGAAGTGGATAAGAATGTCTGTTTGTTGTGGAGAAGCAAGAGGGAATGGGCAGCGGGTTCAGTTAGGATTTCCTGCTCTCCCCTCTGCCCACCCTGCATTTCTAAAATGTGGGTGTAAAAGCAGAATGGAACAGACTCTAAGGTGACTTGTAAACCTGGGACGTTCAGGCTGTTTTGCAGGCTCAACGCAGCTACCAAGCAACGCAAAACTGCTATATGCACGAGAAGATGAAGCGTCTACCTTTCAGCCCGATCTTGTTCTTGTCCATAGATTCTTTGGCATCGTGGGGGATTGTCCACTTTCCTCCTGGCCCTTGGATTGCCGTCACATTTCTCTCTTCGAACTGAACAGGTGCCTAAACATAATGGATTCAAATTATCTTCTGAGCTAGTTTGGAAAAACGACAAGTGATGGTCGAAGGCATTTTGTCCACGGCCTTGGAATCCCTTACCTTGCGTTGGAAGACTAATGGGTGATGTTACACAGAAACGGAGGGTGCTCTGTAGGATCAGGGAAGGAAAATTAGCCACCGTGGCTTATTTTCGTGTCCCATCTGTGCCGACTGTATGTTGCCAACTACGGTAATTCTTACCAGGCGTGGTTGGTTATGTCATCTGAACCTGATAAGAGTTGGGGCCAGTGGGTTTACAAATGACCTCCAGGGCATGTTCTAAGTTCACAGAACGGGTTTGCACGGCAAGGGTAAATGGCTTTCATGAGGCAGGAAAATAAGCTAGAATGGCTTCTTTACCTCCCTTGACTTTGTGAGCCCTGTCACAAATTAGGAGGGGTAGCTATGGAAAGCCGGAAAAAGTAATGCAAGGTGTAACCAGAAAGCTTTAAATGCTACCGCTTAGCATGACTTTGGCCACCTAATGAGAAGGAAGGACTCCCTGGAGAAGAGCCCAATGCTGGGAACAATAGATGGCAAAAGAAGAAGGGGACGGCAGAGGATGAGGTGGCTGGATGGGGCCAGTGCAGCAGTGGGGGTGGGCTTGGGTGGACTCCGGGGGACGGTGGAGGACAGGAGGGCCTGGAGGAATGTTGTCCATGGGGTCGCGAGGGGTCGGACACGACTTCGCGACTCACAACAACAAAGCATGATAAAATGCCCGTCTGGCTAAAGCAGGTTCATCTCAGAACCAGTGCCCTGAGGTGGAAGAGTTTCCATTTTCTAGAATGCATTTTTTCACAATAGTACTAGGATGAATTAAAACAGTTGTGTAACTGGAACTGATACAATACTAGCAAGATTAAAATTAAGGTTGCAACTCAGTTTTTTCAGGGGACTATCCCTAGGAGTCATGCTAAAATTAGTATGTTAACAGTTTACTTGAATTCCAGAAAAAAAAAGGCCTAAGTAAAGCTTTGAAGTTGATTATAACACTGATACCACATCAAGTACATTTGATTAATCAAATGTTTTAGTTCAACTACTTTGCCTGATGGAAAAAAATTACGAGATAATACTGCATGTAGTATGCTTTCCTTTACTTCTGTTTAACTAAGTACAACTCAAGTAAACATGCCAAATCGGATCTCTATAGATTGAAGTCAACAGAAATCGTTCCAGGTCTGCTGTGAAACTCTCCTAAGGAGACTTTTTCCTGCAATATTCACAGGGGTTTGGAATTGATCCAAGACTCCTGATGGAGAGGAGCAGATTCACTTGCACCCCTTCTCTAAATTTAAAAGTAACCCAGTTGGCAGGTCTTTCCCAGCTTCCTTCACAGAGAGTCACCTGGGGAATATCCCTTTTTAAAACAGCTCGTGTAGCTGGGCTTTCACCCTGGGAAGGATTGCAAAGATGCTGACATATTGCCCACATCCGTATTTAGCTATCTCTGCCTTTTTGCTGCCTCGGTTGCACCCCATATCTAAATTTAGGGGGAAGGGCAACTGTGTGGAAACTCACAAGCCAGAAACCTAGCCCAAGCACAGCCTGTTTGGGTCTGTCAGCACCTAGCCAGAGTGCCCAGGTGATCTCCCATGAATCCTGCAGATAAATTTAAATATCAATCCGCAGAAATCCCTTCATTGTACGGGCCTCTTCTGCATCTAGTAAGTGCTGTGAAGTGCCATGCACGTAAGTAATGCTATGAAGTTAAAGGATCGCATTCATGTCAAGCACATACCGTTACTTACTGAACCACTGAATCGACACCAAACCTGAAATCAGTGCACTCTCAGGGGCTACACTGTACACTGGTCCATTCCATTCCTTCTTGATTATCAAGACGAGACTGAGATGTGTCAAAAGGTTTGTGGTGAGGCTATGTTTCATAATGATGGAGGCGTGGAAGACAAATGCCCTGAACAACAATTCTGGACACGCCAGTCGTTTGGCTCGTTTTATGGAACAGCTATAGGCTTCCGACCTTAGTGGTTATAAAATATTGGGAGGAAGAGGGCAGAAAGTACCCAAATCCAAGGCTCTCTATACATCACGGTCTTTTTCCCACATCCCCAACATCCTGCAGCACAGAACACCAAAAAACATGCAGCAGCAACGACAAACATGTATTACATCTAAGCACCTGCGGGGCATTTTTCCCTGATGATCAATGCACAGACAAAATGCACAGTACAATGCCATTAATTGCCAAAGCTCTGACACAAAGTTCAGGACTTTTAACACATCACCTGAAGATTATGCACTGTCATAGTCAAGGTATCTTGAGCCCCAAAAGCCACTGCTTTCCCCTAATAAGGAGTAAACTGTTCCTTCACACACTGGCTCTTCCTCAAAGTGAAGAGAGACCGATCGCTAACTTGTCCCATAAACGAACAAATCCAACAGAGTCAGAAGGAACTAAAGCAACACACGCATCCATCAGAGCAGCTTACCTTAGCAGCTCCAAAAATCTCCACGACAGCAGCAGAAATTTCTGGTCCAATGCCATCTCCTGGGATCAAAGTTACCGTCTGATTCTAGATGTAAAATAATAGTCCACCAGATACAAGGATTACACAAAGATTTACAGAAATTTGCAGGTCACTGGCATGGTGAACAGGTACTTTATGGTGACCGTTGCCCAGAAATTAAATGAAAACAAACATGCCATCAGCAAGCACTGTAATAATGGAGTCTGCCTTTTCAGGATGAGTAACTTGCACCCCCTCTAAAGAAGCAGGTTCTGTATACAGGGAATCGTTTAAGCAGGGGGAACATTTAAACATATGGTCCTCTACCCCACAGTCTAAAGTAGTCCCAGTAAGGACAAGAGCTCATGTGGTGCAGTGTTTAGAAGCTGGGTTGGATCCATGATCCATCCTACATTTTAGGATGGTTTTCCCTTCCGAAGGGGTAAACCATGCTCCATTTCAGAGGGCCTACGCTGGCTGGAGCCAACAGGAGCTATAACCCAAAACATGTCAAGGAATACAATGCTAGCTGTGCTAAGAAGACCATGTGTGGAGTACTTCAGTACTCAAAATGGCTGTTGATGGATAGCTCTAAAAAAACGAACTAAAATAAATCAAGGATCGGATCTAAGAAGCGGAGGAATCTATTCTAAATAGCAAAAATAATGCTATTATGTAAAAGGAAGCATCCAAAACATTGGTGTAGAAGATAAGAAGGTTCTCAACATTTTTTCCCTTTGAAATTTTCCAACCATCAACTGGCTAATGCAAACTATTCAAATGATGTGCAAATATGATCAGAGAATTTTTTTTCCGTAGAATTAGGTTTTGAAAAGAAATAGAAAAAAGTGCCTCCAAAAGCTTTTATTGCCTACTTTAAACAGGGGTGAATAGAATTTTCCCCAAGACTGCAACCACACAGAGATCTTTCTACTGAAGTTTATGAATGACACTAGTAGGTCATCTTTTAGTGTGTGGTAACGTAACAGATTATTTTCAGCACAATTATGCTAAACAAGGGTAAAGGCAGCACTTTCTTGAGAAGCTTCTTAAAGAAAAAATTATACTAGTATACTCACAGCACTACCAAAACTTCTGGTCACCTGTTTTTGGCTTTTGAACCCCCCTAGTAAACGAAAGACCTGTGGAAAGGTAACAAACACAGAAATATGATTTTTTTTAGACAACCAGAACAATAGGAAAGGAAGACTCCTGTCTACTAAAGACTCCTGCCAAGTCTGTATATGCAACAGCTCACACTTTCCAAAACATGTTTGTGTTGTGTACATACATATTTTCAAAGTATCAATTGTGTTATGGCCTACGAATGAAGTCACAGGAAGGTGAAATGAGAAGAACTATAACCTGCTATTTAAAACTCAGAGTTTTAACAAGAGGTTTGGAATTAAAATGGGAGAACTGTTTCTTTAGGATCCCTTGTGTGCATGTACAAGGTTTTCCTGGCTTGATGCTGCCATGTTTATAATGTTTATCAACTGAAGTATTTTGTCTTTCAGGATGTGTCTATGGACTTCTGACAGCCTCATTATTGGCAGAAGCGAACTGGGCTGCGATCAGTGGGCCTCCTCCTTATCCTGGGGCAGATTCTCCACAGGGAATCTTGCACTATAAGGTAGGTTTGATTTTGCGTAGGCCCGGGAGCATACCTCGGCCAAATTAGCATAACGGCACCAAGCCGGAGTGAGATTGGGCCCAGGCCTGCAACAGCCCCTTGCCTCATAGCAGTTGTATTTCGACACTCATCTTTTAACCATTAATGTCCTTGCAACTAAAATGATAAAGTATCGTACTAGAGTTTTAATTATCCTAAGCTAGTGTGCTTGCCATATCACCTTAGACAGATAGATAAGCTTTATTGCGGTCAAAGCCCAGCTCCATTCAATAAATATATAGATTTTAAAAAGTAAATATATAAAACATTATCTATATTAAAACCCCACGTGGATTAATAAATACTTCAACACAACATCAGTCATCTTAAATCGGTAATGATCCCAGACTTTTTCCTTGTCCAGCTAGGCAGAGCCACAATCCCCCATGATCTGTCTTCGGACACCCATCGTGGCCGCAAAGAATTTAGCGACACTATATGTTATTGCTGGGTTAGCGTCAGACAGCAATATATAAATATATTGTTGTTTCATAACAACATATCACCTTAAGAAATCAAACACTGCTCCAAACAATGCCTGAAAATTCTGTCTGCCACGTGGAAGGTAACTTAGAACCCAATGAAAGGTATTAGAAAGGCATTTTGCAGTTTAGCTATTTTCCATGCTTGCTTTTAAAGGGTTTGGATCTTGCATATGCCAGGCTCTTATATAGTCAGCAAAGTAGAATATTCGCTGTTCTAATATGCTTCCAACTGGCTAACTCTGTAAATGTATAAAAGATAGAGATCAACCATAGGACCTGCGAGGGACACAATGGAGTTTGTTTGTTTGTTTGTTGTTTAACTACACAGTAGTTATTTTCGCAGGCTGCACTCAGCTGACTGCATACAACTGCTGCTCTTTGTTTACTGCCCCTACTCCTTGGTGGCAATCTGGCTGCTCTACTTTTCATCAGCTGAAGTTCTCAGGGGCAGCCCCATATAAAGCGCATTAGAGTAGTCCAGCCGAGGGGCTGCCAGGGCAGGGATTCCTGCTGCCAGGTTCTGTTGGCAAGGCAAGGTCAAAGCTGCCGAATTCACCGGAGCGGATCGAAGGCTCTCCTGGCCCAGAGCCCACCCGGTGCTCCAGGGGCGGCTCGGAAGCACCCCAAGCAGGAGGGGGAGTGCAGCCCCGTCCAGGACGGGGCGATACCCCACCGGGACAGGGGAGCCGGCGACGCATCAGCAGCACCTCTGCCCTGCCTGGATTCGGCTCTGGCTTGCTGGCCCTCGTCCGCCCGTCGCCACGCTCAGGCGCTGGTTCAGCCCCGCCGCCGCCGCAGCCGGCCTGGGTGCAAGGTGGGGGGCGGCCGCCCCCCCCCCCGAGGACCTCTCCAGCCGCTTCCTGCGGATGCCGCAGCGCGCGGGGGCCAGAACGGCGCCCTGCGGCCCCGGCCACGCGGCGACTCCGCCCGGTAAGCCCTGCTGCGGGGTGCCGTGGCGCCCCCCGGCGCGGCTGACCTCGCAGGGCGGTTGTGCGGGTCAGGCGGCGCTGGAGGGGCCCGGGGGCTCCGGCGCCAGGGAGCGGCGGCGAGCGGGCGCATCCTCCGCGAGCGCCCCGCCCCGCCCCACGCGCGTGGCCCACCTCGCAGGGCGGTCATGAGCGCGGGGGGGAGGGGGGCCAGGCTGGCCGAGCGGAGCGAACCCTCGCGAGACCTCGGCGGCGCGGGCGCGGGCTGAGCCCTCCTAAGGGAGCCCGCGCGGGGAGACGGCGAGGGCGAGGCCGCCGCGGCCAAGGTCACCTCAGCGCTCACCTTGGGCGCCCACCGAGACGAAGCCATGGCGGGGCGCGGCGCCTCGCGCGCCGCTCGCTCCTTCCCTCCCGGCGGCGGGCGCTGGCGGGCTGGCGGGCGGGGCGACCGGCGACCGGCGACCGGCTGGATGGATGGCCCGCTGGGACAGGCCGCGGCCTCCTCGCTGCCACCGCCTCCGCCTGCAGCGCTGGCGCTGGCCCCGCCTCGGCCAATCGGAGCGGGCGGCTCGACCCGCACCGGGAGCGGATTGGCGGGAGCCGCGGGCCACGCCCCCCCCGGTGACAGCCGGCTCCGGGCGGGGCCGACGAGGGAGCGCCACCCCGGGGATCCTGCGCGGCGCGCAACGGAGGGGCGCGATCCTGCGCGTCTGCAGGCGGCCTGCGCGACCCCGGAGGAAGCGGGGCGCCCGGCTGCCCGCCGAGAGCCTCAGCCGCTGAAGCGCGTGACAGAGCCCGGCTGCGGGAGACCGAGGGCGCCGGGAATCGTCCCCGGGCGTCGGATGCGAGGCCCTTCCACGCGCCCCGAGGCGCTTCCGCCGCAGGCAGCTCGCCCTGGGCTTGCCAGCAGTGTGGGTGGCCGGACGCATCTGGCATCGTGGGCAAGCGCCTCGCTCCTGCGAAATGGTTGCCGTGAGAACGGGCGCTTGCCCATTCAGGAAATGACCGCCGTCGTGGGCACGGCCAGCCGCGAAGGCAAGCGAGCGAGGCCGGCAGGAAAATAACTCGCTCAAGCCCCGAAGTGCAGCGCCGATGCGGCGTTTGAGCTCCGAGCACAGGACTGCCGGGACGTGCAGCTTAACACGTCGCACGGGGAGAAGGAGATCCAGGTGCTAAGCTCACTAGGTGACTTTGGGCAGCCATGGGCTCTCAGCCTAGCCTACCTTTCAGGGTTGTCGTGAGGACAAACTGGCGAGGAGCAGGATTCTGTAAGCCACCTCAGGTTCCTTGAAGGGAAAATACAGGCTAGAATAAACAAAGCCACTCTCCTGAACCCCGGTTAAACGGCATGAGAGAGGGCATGCCCGCTTCACAGTTCGAAAACAAATCTTGGAAAATCTTCAATAAAATTGGGAGGGACAGGACATTTAGTGGGCACCAAGCCAGGTATCTGCAAGCATATCAGCCTAGCACACAGGCGCACCCTTGAGGCCTCTGCTTTCCTCTCTGTGGAGGTACTGGAAAGAAATGCAAGGCTTTTTTTTCAAAGATCCTGCAATGGGCTGTTTAGTTCTCAAGTGGTAACATATTGCCAGGATTTCAGTTGATTTGCTGTGTCCTAAGAGGCCAGTTGGCCAGGTAGTATCCCAGGTAACCTGCACGGGTAGTTTTTTTTCATAGACATCTGGGGGGAGCACCATTTATTTATTTATTTCCCGATTTATATCCTGCCTTTTTCCCACAGAGGGCTCAAGGCAGCTGACATCATTCTCCTCCTCCATCTTCTCCCCACAGCAACAACCCTGTGAGGTAGGTTGGACCGAGAGTCTGTGACTGGCCCAAAGTCACCCAGTTGGCTCCATGGCTGAGCGGGGACTCGAACCTGGATCCTCTGAGTCCCAATTCCATGCTCTTCACCTCCACACCATAGCAATATGTAAACAAAGGAATACGGACAGTACACCCAGCAGACCAGATGGGTTGTCATTTCTGTATGTTTCAGCAATGCTTCTCCAAGACATTATTTGTGAAAAAGAGGTTTGATTTCCCATTGGCACTCTTTTTATCTGGCCATGTAATCTACAAACAAGGTACAGGCAATCGATTGGAGCTTCTGCAAACAATTCAAAATGCAGTGAGGTGAAATGGCACATGGGATGAAAGGGCCAGACTGATAAGCTGTGGCTGACCGGAACCTCTGCACCCATAATTTGGCTGGCTTAATACAGATAATTTATGTTGTTTCAAAAACATAACGGAGAACTGTCAGAATGGCCAGTTGAATAGCCTTTGGTCCTCTCTAGCTGTAGCCTTTGATGCACCTACCTGGGAATAAGGGTGCGATTAGTGGGACTTGCTTCTGAATAAAATGTCTAGGATTGGACTTTCAGAGGAGAAGGAAACATGGCTGGTTTGGATACACTAGGACTATTTTCCTGATTAAACATGAATAGGATTGTGCCTTTTGAATGGGAAGGAAGTTGCAGAAAAGCTAGGAAGCCATCATACGACAGGAGGGCAGAAGGAAAAGGGGCCAGAGGAAGGGGTCAAGACCATTGGGCTGAATTTGAGCCTGGGTCTGAGGCAGACTATCTTATTTTTGGAAATATTCATCACCCACCTTGATATCACACAACGATCCTTGTACTTCCTTTGGCATTCGTAAGGAACCAGGAAGCCCTGACTGTCTAGGCTGGACTGTTTCCGTGTTTAATCATAGGAGCAAATGAGGACATGACATTATTTTCAATGACACAAGCTTTTTATCTGACAGGTAATCAGAAGCTGAAAGGAATCCAATGCCCTAGAACATAATTCTGTAGACTAAGAATGTACAGAAGGAATGGATTTGCTTTTGTAAACTTCCGTCATTGTTTTTCTGTTATCTGAACTTGTGGGAGGCAGGAAGGAAGCTCGAAACAAACTTCACACTGCTACCAAATTAGCTTAAAGGCCTTGTTTGTTCTCTTAGTGTCACACGCACGTCAGCTAAAATAGCAGAATGGAGGAATGTCAGATTAATATTTCGTGCAGGGCATAAACTAGCTTCATCGAGAATGCAGAAAGCTTCCTGCATTCTCATAGGACACCAAACACCATGTCCGTTAAGGCGACATTTTTCCTCCATTTCTCCTCCCCCCCCCCCACGCGCTTTTCTTTTGCTAACTTTAAATTAAAAAAAAAAAAGAATTTGGTGCATTTCCCAAAAGCTATTGCTGGATGGTGAGCTTGCTGTTTGATCACAGTTTGTCCCAGTAAAGAAAAGTTTAATATACGGCTAAGATTCTTCCCCATCCGCTGGAAAAGGGAAATGAAAGCGCAGCGCCCCCTCGCGGCTGCGGCCCGCCGTCGCATCGCGGACGGCGCAAAGAGGAGGGTCACGAGAGAGAAGATGGGTATGTGCGCTCCGTGAGCCTCTCGCCAGATTTCCTGCTTTCCGAGGGACCCCGCCGGCACATGCAAGGGACACGCCGGGAGGTAAAAGGCGCCGGTTCCTGGCTCGGGCTTCGTGCGGGGATCCGGCCCCGCGGCTCGGCTGCAGCGGGGCAGCGGCGGCCGCTCCCGATGCGCTCGCCCTGCGGCTCGGCCAGGTCGCATGCCTGCTCCCGGTGCCTGCGGATGGAGAACTCCTGAAGCTTGCCATGGGATGCCTTTGCTCCCCGGGAGGATCCCTCGCTTAAGATGGGGAATAAGCAGACGATATTTACAGATGAGCAGCTCGACGCCTACCAGGTGAGTGGGAGGGGGAGAGGGGAAGGTGAGGGCCGGGCAGGCCAACGGGGGCAGTCGTGCCGCCGGGCCCATGTGGCCTGCGGCAGCGGAGTGGCAGAGGCAGGCAGGCCACCCCTTCCTCCGGGTGGAGGAAGCAAACCAGGGGATTTTACCAGTTGGTGCCATTTCACGGAAGACCCCAGCCCCGGAAGCCCTCGTCCTGCTTCCGAAGGAGCTGGCATTAGGTTCGGGGGATCCTTTAAAACCCTGCGAGTCAAGAGAGCCACTGGTTCCTCAGGAGGCCCGAGCCGTGGCTGTTTCACGCCCTAGGAAACCCTAGGAAAGACCCCTGCCTGAGCCTGAGGCAGCCTCCCCCACCTCCAGTGCTTTGCAGAGGGGTGGATTACAGCCCCCATCATCCCCAGCGGGGCTGGTAGCCCAGTGCATCTGGAGGGTGCTTGATGGGAGAGGCTGCATTTCGGGAGTTGAATATGGGTCTGGTCCGGAGGGATGAATCCACTGCAGACACTTTTTATGACCACTTCCCGCATCCATCAGCTCGGGGTGAGCAGAACCGCCCCTTTCTTGGAATGAGGTCCGGATAGTCGGGGGGGGGGTGGTTCATTTAATTCATCCAGTCCTGTTCCAGCCATTCCCAAACTCTCCCTCCCATCAAACCACGGCCACCCACTTTTTTCAAAGAAGAGAGACGTGTCTGAGATTAACTCCCTAGGGAAAGGGAATATATGGGAAGGATTCCAGCTGAGTGAGCAGAAAGACTCCCAGCTTTCGAAAAGAGATGATTCTAGCGTATCTTCAGTGGAAACCAGCAACCAAACCAGAAACAGAACGACTTAATGGGAAAAGTAGGCAAAAGACTTGGGAGCGCGTAGAAGAATTTCTCCAAGATCAGTCGGATTTATATGGCCGTAACTGTGCTTGGTAGGGCTGACCCAACCCAAAAGGATGGCGAAGCAGCTGCCTAAAGCTGCTCCATCCTGGGATTGCTAAGCAAGTAAGAATAAAAAGATCTTTGCCATTTTAGACCTCATCGGTTTGGAGGCAAGTGTCTGTGTTTCATCCCTTTCCTGCCAATGGGGAAACATCTCCCCCGGAGGCCCTGGGGGAGAGCAGGGATCTTAATTTGTAACTAGGCTGTCAAAGTGTCCTGGGGTGTGGGGCTATTGTTCCAGAACCGGCCATCCACTCTTGGAGGCTGTAAACTGGGTGCGATGGACCCTGGCCTGGCAGAAAGCTTCTCCTGCCGGTGCAGATGTTCCTGCTGGGGAAGGCAGAATCTCAGCACCAGGGGCCAAACCTGGCCTGCCTGGTACCCTCATCTCACCCTGCCCCCTTTCCCTGACCACTCTTCCTTTCCCCCAACCTCCAACTTCGTGCAGCTTCCCCACATTTTAAAAGCTTGAATTGCCACTTCTAAGGCTTAGTTATGGTGGCATTTTGGGTGGTTTTCAGACTCCGTCCCCAGCAACCTTCAGCCCCACCCAGTGCTGGAATGCCCCCCCCCCCCCCGCTCAAGGATGTCCGGTGGCCACAAGGGGTCGGTGGAACCTCCCTGTTCAGGAATAGCATAGCTGTGGATACTGCAGCACAGGAGAACAAACTGGTAAGGGCTGTTCATGGCAATTGACCCTGCTGGCTGTGGATGATGGGGGTTGTAGTAAAACACACCTGGAGGACACCAGACTCTGTGCCGAGCACCACCAGACTTCTTGATGTCTTTCAGTCCAGTTCTTGGAGTCCCTTTGTCCAGAGATGTCAGGAATGGAACCTGTGACCCTCCTAAAGGACAAATTTGTTATTTCTGACCACGCGGTCCCGCTGCTTCCTGAGCTAACCATCATTCCGTGTTCCCCACTGTGTCCCACTTTGACTGGTATGGGCACACGAAGGTCTTGAGCAGAAGACTATTTCCCTGTTCCTGTTCCTTAAGGATCCTCTTGACTGAACTGGAATTTGGCCCCTGACTGAAGGAGTTTCCGCACCCGTTTCTAGCTACCTGTCCCTCTCTTTCTGCGGTCCCTACGGTGAATACCCTTGGCTGTGAACCACAATACTTTCACCCCACACAAGAAGGAAGTACTGCTGGGGGGTGGGGGGAACAACTCCAAGAGACAGCATGGAGGCCTCTTCAGTATTCTGGCCCCCTCTTTTGCATTGGGCCCTGCTCACCATGGGTCTGTAGCCCCCTGAGAGCTTCTCCCAAGCTGAACGGGGTCCTCCCACTGAGAGGGATTCAACCCCCTGCTCTAGAAGTATCAGCCCACGATAGATGGCCTTGAGTGGAGTGGGGGCGAGAGTGTTTTATTGGGGACCCAGGAGATCTGGGCTCTGGTCCCCACTTAGCCATGAACCTCCTGGGTGACTTTGGGCCAGTGGCTCACTCCCAGCCCAACCAACCTCGCAGGGTTGTGGAGAGGATAAAATAGAGCTAAGTGAGGCACCTCGGGTTCTTCACAAGAGGAAAATGGCAGGACACAAATGCAGTGTAATAATAATAATACCACCACCAACAACATTTATTTAGCTATTTGGGCCTTGCTTTTAAAGAAAGTTGCTCAAATCAGCTTCCTTCTTCAGAGGCACTGTAGCTCCTTCAGACCAGCCCTTTGTTCCATGCCTTGTCCATGAAGGCTCAGAGGCATCCGGCTGACCACCATTGGAAGCAAAACACTGGGCTAGACGGTCTGCTTTTCTGACAACCCTAACTTGGAAGTTTGAGTACATCTTCCTCCCAGGCTGTGTCATCAGCTTTCGAATTGGCTGCTTCTCCGGGCTGGTATAGTTACACGGCAAGCGTTAACCCACTTCTCTTTGTTGCCCCACACCGGGCTCTTGCTGGTAAACAGAGCACCCTGAAGTGATAGCTTCAAAAAGTGAGGTGTTTGCTCGTTCGGGAATGAATGCAGGCTCAACCGCCTGGCTCCTATTTCCCTTTGTGCAGGTTCAGGCAATGTGACATCATGGCCACGTCTCCCGGTCTCCCCTCCCATCGCGCCTCTGTAATCCTATTCGGCCACACAATACGCCCAAGGAGAAGCGCCTCACTCCCATCACTTCGTAGGTGGAGAAGGAAGAGGGCTTAATAATTGATGCTTAAGTAGGCATGGCAGAGGACTTGAAACCCAAACCGGTTCCGATGGACCAGCCCTTGGGGTTCACAATTTAAGTAGGGCTGGTCCTGGCTTAGGACCTTTTTGGTGGGTGTCCTGCCCAGGTTCGACATGGAGCTCCCAGGGGAGGCTGGGAAGCTGCGGTGCTGTGGGCTGGATCACCTCTGGGGCAAGGTCCAGGGAGGTGGTCACGTTTGGTTAGGGGAGGCACTTCCTCTGGGCCTTTCAGGACCCTGGACAGAACATGGGGAAAACAGGCCTGGGATGAATCACTGTCTCAGCAACATGCAGCGGCCTTCTGCAGGCTGGCCTCCACACCCTTCCCTGCCCTTAATTCTGCCCCCTCCAAGGAGCTACCTGCTTCTCAAAGGGCTACCTGCAGCCACTGCTTCCTGTGGTGCAAGAGGTGAGTCCTCTAAGCCAGAGTAGCCAATGCATCTGGAGTCATCTTCAAAGGTTCTTTCCCAGGTTGTTCATCACCCAACCAGAGAGGGGGCCTTCTTGGTTATGGCACCACCTTTCGGGACTCGCTTGCTGGAGTGGCAGGGGACACTCACCTGGTGCCGATGCTATTATCCACCCAGTGCCCTGTGGAAACGTCTCTCTGCTCCCAGGCTTTCGAAACTCAGATTATTTTAAAATCCACAGTAGGGCCATATCTTGATCAGGTCAATCAGAATGTCATAGAGTAACCAGCTGATGTTCAAGTTCTCCAGAACATTTCATTGGGTTTGTTGTGACTGAAAGGGCCAGGGAAGGGTGCGGAGGGGGAAGAAAACGGGTCGATGTGGAAAACTTGGAGTTTTCTTTCTTTTCCCACTTTCCACCCTAACACTGTGGCTAAATGAGGCCTCCGCGGCCTCAGCTTCAGCCATCTTCTCCACCCTTCTTTGCTGAACTCCTAGCTCAGCCTTCCTAACCAGTGGCTTTTGGATGTGTTGGAGCAGTTCCCATCATCCCCAGCCAGCAGGGCAAGACTGGCCTAGTTGCTTAGATCAAATGCCGCTAGAGCTCTTCAGGGCGAGGTCTCACTTTCACCCAAACCATCTCTAGCTGATATAGTTCAAGATATGATTTCTGAATCACGAGCCATGTCTCAGTCCAGATATTCCTATTACATTTTTTTGTTTTATTTACAGGATTGTACCTTCTTCACACGGAAAGAGATCCTTCGGTAAGCAGATCCCACTCCGTTCTGACCTGATACAAGAGAGGGCAAGTCCTGTTCAAATCCTTCCCACTGGAAGGAACGGAGGAAATACTTATTCCTTTAGGGAAGGAGAGTAGAACCACCTGCCGGCCAGATCGGGTGTTCTGGTTTCCCTCAGATAGGCCCACTCCCTTTCCTCTGACCTTTCCTCATACTTTGGCTTTTGCATGGCTTTTCCTCCCCTCCTGGAAGGTCAAAATGCCTCTACTAAGGCGTTAATTACACACAGTAAGTGCTTCGAACTGAAATAATGCCAGCATTCTGGCCACACCCCTTTTGCCTTTAGCTCAGCCCACTTTGCCTTTGGCCCCACCCACCCCTTTACGGTGGTCCTCAGAAGCTGCTCCAAAATGGAATCCAGCCCTCACAGCGTAGGAGGGTCAACGGAGTAGATTGAAGCCTCCTCGGCAGACTCTGCCACCCATAATTTAACTTTAACCAGGATGAGAACCCATGAATAGCAACTTCTGACTTCCCAGTTTTTCTCTAGCTTTTCGCTGCATATCCAAACTGATTCTTATCTGTTCATCCTCCAGACTTTGGGAAGCTCAAGTCCCAAAGCCTGGTGAGAACTTCCGGAGTAGAGATCTGGGCCAGCCATAGTCCCTTTGTTAAGTCCCTGATCAAGCATTAGTTTTTGGGCAGGAAAAAAAGTGATAGGCCGTTCTCTCTCTCTCTCTCTCTCTCTCTCTCTCTCTCTCTCTCTCTCTCTCTCTCTCTCTCTGTTCAACTTAGAACAATGCTTTTCCCTTTTCTTTTTAAACAAAAGTTGCCCGATTTCATCTTCAAGCGAAACACTCTTTACAGACCTCAAACTGAGTTTAGATAATTCCATGATTATTCTGGATTTGTGCTTTTGTATACACCAGTTCTTGTGACCCTGGAGGGCTTTTGGCCAAGGGTGGCGGATGATGGAATAGCAATACCCATGCTATTCGGCACAGTGGGGCACTCGCTTTCAACATAGATCCAGCTCTGGCTTAGTTTTTCCCACCCACAAACCAGAGCTCCTGGTTTGTACACTGTGCTAAACAACCCAGGAACAGGGCCCCTGTTCTCTGCTCCTGCTGGCCTCAGGAAATGCCTGGCAACATGAAGCTGCTGGTGTTCATAGCAAACCAGGCTGACATCTCCCGGAAGCTGGAGAGCCCTCGTTTAGCTGAATGCATGAATGAAATCCAGTGCTGATCCCCTCTAGCACTCTACGTTTTCATTTTAGCCAAAACAGAGGCGTCTGTCCGGTGTGCAGTGTACCTAGGCAGTAAAATAAAAGTGAACGATAATTCGCTGTCCAGCCAAGGCTGCAGGACTTTCAGTTCCATCGATGGACGTTGCCCGCAGGGGAACAGAATGTTTTGCACTCCCGCTGGAGGGTGGAACAGGGGAGCTGAGCCGATGCACACGGCCTTCCGCAGTGGCTCGCTCTTCCACACCGACGACTCTCTTACGAAAGTCCACCCTTTTCTCCCTGCTGGGTTTCCTGCTCTCGTGCATGGCTCAGCCAGTCCGCCAAATTTGCACAGTGCACAAGGGGGGCTGAACTACAATCCGGGTTCACAAGACTCTGGGTCCACCGTGTTGGCCCGTGCGTATCCCCTACACTGCATATGTCTGGCACATGCAGCATTACGTGTCCGGTTACTGCGGACACAGCTCTCTGCTTTTAGCTGGTGGGCAACTTACGACCCACCCACAGACAGACTTGGCAGGGCAATTCCCACCTTTGGCTTACAGCTTGGTCTTGAATAGCGTATTTCTTTCATTCCTTGCAGAGTTTTAGGCTTGCAAAACCGTCTAATGGGAGGGAGAAAATCTGGTATTGATCCTTTGTTCTAGGAAGTGCATCTCCCTTTTAAATAGGTCTAACGATCACAGTGCAGAAGTGAGTCCAGGTATCCAGGGTTACAGCGCCCCTCCGTCCACTTACTGGACAACTGAAGTTGCAAACAAGGTACAATTGAGTGAATGAACAGCATTGTCCTGTGATTTTTGTATTTTGGGGATTTTATGCAAAGCATCTACTCAATATGACACTATTTTCATTGATTGGCCATAGCCCAGTGATTACTATGAATGTCATTTCTCTACTGCCCCTCAGCCCTTCGAAGCCCTCTGGGCAGCTTACAGCCATGTATAAAACAAACCAATACAATGCAAATACTTGTAAGGACAAAGCGATGTTAAAATGAATTTAAAACAGCTAAAAAATACAATCAAAAAGACCCCCCAGGGAAAAGAACCCTGGATGACGAGGTCGCAAGCATGCAAGAGACAGGAGAGGAGCCAGCCTTTGGGGAAAGAGCCACGTCTTCCGTTATGGCCGCAATTGCCGTACACGCCACATGTTCCCCTTTTAGTGTTGCTTCTGCATCTGAGCAGAGCCTGTTTGATTTGGGTCCTGTTCCTTGCAGAGGCCCAACAGATGCCGGCAGGAAGCGTGGAGGCAGGACAGGGAAGGCCTGGCTGTTCCGTGCTTCCGTTTCTCCGTGGGGAACTGGTGTTTGGGAACGTGCCGCTTGGGAGTCCAGAGGTGCCATGGACAGACCGCCGTTCCATGCATTTATCCCATCCCCCGATAGCCAGTCCACGGAGTGGCAAAAGGGGGAAAGCTCTCTGCAGAATGCGACGTGGCACAAAGGGTGCCGCCGCCGAAATCCATTCGGAAGCTGCCCAAGCTAGGGAGGAACGCATCTGGCCATTTTGGGTCCTCTCCATGTCTCACCTTCCCCAGTTGTAAGTTTTGGCTCATCCCAGACTTGGGGAATTTTTCCAACCTTAAGTCTGACAGGAAAAAAAAGTTTGCATCAAAATCTGTACAAATATTTATGCCCCGTGCTTGCAGTACATGCCTTTTGCAAGCAATTTTCCTAAGTAATGCGTTCGTTCTTTCCAGAAATGCAATATTTTGTTGGAAACAGCATGTTGGGATAATTGGATGCTTGGTCCCGCAATTAGTGCGGGGGCTCATTTGGAGAAGCCCTATGTGCTTTACTGTTGCTGCGCCACGCTATCAAGCACCATCCTGATGGATCTTGACCACGCTGCCGAGCAGTCTTGGGTAGACACTTAATGCAGTCCGCTTTCCTTTAGGCTCTCGGGACAGTGTCTGCGGTTTCGCCCCACCTGATCCTCCCTAAAAATGTACACGGCGACTGTAAAACAATTACATCTGGAAGGCCTGATTGATTTCATGGAAATCAGGCTCTCTCCTGCCTTACTCTGTGGCATTAACGTGCTGCAAGCTCACACACGGGGGAATAATTTATGCTCCTCCACAGGAACAGAAGTGAAAACAAAAAATTGAATTGGCTCTCATATCCGATTAGCCACAACCAAAGAGTCTCTGGGAATCAATGGAGAAAAAAGGCAGACCCTCCAGGTTGCTAAGCAGATGGCAGCTGGAGAGCTTGCAATATTCGAGAGAGGATGCTTCGGAGCGCTCGCCCGACGTGGCCATGGGAGCGTGGCTTCCTTTCCGCTGCTCAGTGCAGGAACAAGGAGCTCTTGCCCTCTGCTGAATCGTGTTCCAGGTCAACAGGGCACTCACGAGCAGATCGCTGCCTCTGCTTCCCTCCCTACCTGTCCCAAGGCCAAGAAGCCTGCCTTGAGATGGGTGAAGGGACCTGCAGAGGCGGCTGTGGGTACTCCCTGCCCCGGGCAGAGCGCTTCCCATCCCAGGGGCCTCTTCCTCAGTGGCGTGTGGTGCACGCCACATCACTTCCCTGCCGGGGATGCAGGGCCTGGTAGTTCCACTCCTGGAATAGCCTGAGCACCAATTTGCTGGGGGCTTGTGCTGCTGAAAGCCCCCGCAGCCGCTCTTCTGCCCCAGGGTGGTTTCTTTGCTGGGGGGCAGCGTGGTAACCACAATTCGTGGCCCTTGGCTGTGGCGGTGCTGGGCGGCCCGTGGTCCTGGAAGTGCAAAACCGAGCTGCTTGCCAAGCAAGGCAGCCAAGGGTTAACTCGGCTAACACCGGTGTTGAGGCAAACCCCAGTTCAGCATGTTTCTGACATAAACCCATCTTCTGCACTTGGGGGTTCAGTTCTCCATTCTGCGCATGGGGAGAGAACGGGAAGGCCTTTCCCAAATGCGAAGGTTCGGAAAAGGGGGTCAACGTATTCCCTTGCTCCCCCAACATGGGAAGGCATTCCTGGACGATCTGTTCCTGGATGAACTGTTCACATTCCGGGATGATCCATTTGCGGTCTCTTCTTGACACACCAGAATCGACTGGCACATTGTGAGCATTGCACAGGAGTTAACGACACATTCCGTGCATCTCCCGGTCTAATGGCTACTCAAGCCTCCCTGATCAATGAGCCATTACCAGCTTTTATCTCTTGCTTTCAGCCCCCCTGTGCTCTCTCCGTGTATAATTCTTGCAAAGGTCCTGCAGTGCTAGGCAGCTTTCTGCAAGATGGGCTCACAGCCTGGCAGGGGCTGGTGAGGACCGAGCCAAGAAGGGTGGGATTGTCCTCTGCTCTGACCCATGGGCCACCTTTCGGGGGGTTTCCGAACTGCCCCAGTCATGCCCGCCCAGCCGAACGATGAACCAGAAGATCCTCAAACGAACGACTGTGTTTTATCACCATGCACTGGAAAGGGACGTTTAATCCCCCTGACCCCAACCGTGTGTTTCAAGCCCCCCTCCCTGCATAAGGCAGCCTCAATCCAGATTAGGGTCATGCTCTTGAATAAGAAACAAGGAGGGGCCTTTCGCACACCCTGGAATGAAGGATGCTGAAAGCTCGGCCCTGATTGTGGTCTCTCTCCACGGGTCGGTGGGTTGAGAGCATCAGAGGCTGCACAGGAATAAAGATGGGTAATAGGTGGAGGACAGAGTTGTGTACCGGAAAGAAGAGACACGTGTACCCATGGGCATTGCTGTTGCTGCTGTCATTGTCGTCGTATCATTCCATTTATATGTCACCTACTACCCAAGCGTCTCAAGGTGGCTTACAGTACAAATATATACATACATACATTGCATCTATATCCCACTTCTTTCCTCTTGGGAGGAATCCAGGGTGGCTTACAAGGCTGTCCTCTCCATAATATCCTCACAGCCACCAGCCTGTGAGGCAGGTCAGGCTGAGAGACAGGCTGGTTTGGGAGCAAGTGGGAATCAGAATCTGGATTCCCGGGCTTCCTCGTCCCCTACATTCACCCCTGTGATGCAGTAAGTCCTGCCAAAGAATGTTTAAAGAATAATCAGGAGGATGTTTGAGAAGATTTTCCCAAGTGGAAGCGTTGCTTGAGAACGTTTACCTATTTTGCTCAGGGCATCCCTAAGACATAATTCAGTGAAATGTCCCGGACAGGTCCTGAGCCAAGCTTAAACTATTTTAAGGAAAATGATTATTTGTTTATTTAATTTATTTATATTGCGATTTATATCCTGCCTTTTTCCCATAAAGGGCTCAAAGCAGCTTACATCATCTCTCCCCCTCCATCTTATCCCCACAACAACCACCCTGTGAGGTAGGCTGGGCTGAGAGTCCGTGACCGGCCCAAAGTCACCCAGTGGGCTCCATGGCCGAGCGGGGACTCGAACCCAGATCCTCTGAGTCCCAGTCCCGTGCTCTTCACCACGACACCACCCTGGCTCTCATTTGCAGTCTAAGTCAGAATAGTTCAGGGCAGCAAAGCTGTCCACGCCTGTCTTTACCTGGCTTGCCCAAGCTGCAGCCTCCAGTTATTCTAGATTACAATTCATATCCAGCTCTCCTAGAATGGCCGGTGGTCCCAGATGGTAACAGCGGTCGTCGAAAGCATCTGGACGGTACCAAGTCAGGAAAGGCTGCTCTGTACCGGGAAAGGGGAACGGTTACTGACACGCTCTTGCAGGTGTGTGTGTTTGTTTGCAGGTTGCACGGACGCTACCACGAATTGGCACCAAACATGGTGCCTATGGACTATACCAGGAATCCAGACGTTAAATTACCTATGCAGCTCATAGTCAACATGCCAGAGCTAAAGGTATGGCTTTTCCAGATTTGTGCCTCTCCTTCGCTGCCCCTCACCCTGATCCTTGACCGAGGAATCAAATTTGTCCCTGGGAATCTGCTGCCTCCTCCATTCCTGTAATTCCTCTGGGGTCACTGCCTTCAGTCCTCCTACCATTGTAAGCTCAACAAATGCCTCTTGGGGGGAGTTTCAGGAAAAGTTTACACCGCCTCCTCCACTGCAAAGTTCTCCCTCCCAATTCACTTCAGCGGGAGGAGAACCCGGGGCTTCAAAACATGAGCTGGCCGTGGAATACACCTTTCCAGTCTTTTCCAAATACGAAGGCTCAGAAAAGGAATCGCCACTGGATCTTGTTTTCAGTAATAAAGGACTACCAAAGTAGGATTGAGGCAGAGCTTAAACTGAATTTGCATGGACATATTCAGGGCGATTATTGGATTTCTTTTGCTCGCTTTGCTCTAAATGCATGTTTGTATCAATTGCACTGGAAGAACATTCAACGGGCTAGCCTTTTGCTTTTCTTTTCCCCCTTTCTTTTTGATATGAAGTACTTCTTCATTAACCCTATAAAGTCATGCTAATGTTGGAGTTATTTTGATAGTGGGGTCCTTCCCTTCCCCCTTTCCTCTCCCCTTTCCTCTTCCATACTGACAACGAATGTTTAGGCCTCGGCTTCCTACAGAGCCTGAAAACTAACCACTGCAGCTTGGCTGCTTTGACCTGCTCACAACCCTGAGGATTACTTTACATCCTATCTGTTGCCTTGTAACTTCATATATTCCCAGGGTGATCATCAACCCTGGACAATACACACGAGTCTAAATTCTTGGGCTGAAGCTGTAGATAATGTGGTCCACAGATGAGTCAATTTGAATGCCAGCATTTTCCAGGAAGTTCTGGAATGAAAATTAGACCCGTCTTTTGCTGCTAGGTAGATGGACTTGATGTGAAGTTGTGATGGACTTGCTATGGACTTGATGTGAAGCGTGCATTGATTGAGTAGAGAAATTGTGTGCAGGTTTCTTGCCCTGGTACGGTCTCTCTCTCTTGTGGGCGTGTTGTGAGTGGGCATGTTGTGAGCAGAGCCGGCTGGTACTGGAGGTCAGACTAGATGACCCGGGAGACCCTTCTGACTCGCTTTGTTTCTGTGTTTCTCTGTGTGTGTGGGTGTGTGTCTGGCCAGAATGGAAGGAAGGAAGCAGACTGGGGAAACAGGTACGCATTCAGGAAATAGCAAGATGGAGGCACGTTGTCTGAAGGTGAATTGATGACCAAGCTGATCCTTCATGGAGGTGCTGATTGAATGGGAGGGCACCTCTACATGGAAGGTAGACTCGGGACTGCCGTGATTTATGTCATGGCAGGCTAGGAAAGAGGACTGTGGCATTTATTTTATTTATTTTTTATTTATTTTTCTATGGATATCCTGCCTTTTCCTAGAAAGGGCTCAAGGCAGCTGACATCATTCCCCTCCTCCATCTTATCCCCACAACAACAACCCTGTGAGGTAGGTTGGGCTGAGAGTCTGTGACTGGCCCAGAGTCACCCAGTGGGCTCCATGGCTGAGCGGGGACTCGAACCCAGATCTCCTGAGTCCCAGTCCCATGCTCTAACCACTACACCACACTGGCTCTCATGGTCTTCTCCACCTTGTGCCAATGGCCATTCTCTGCCCAGAAGCTCGACGCGGATCTGGCTGGGTCAGGAGCCCATGGGTGACCCGCCAACTGTTCAGGAGGCCATCATTGAATAGGATTCTGGACAGCCCCAAGTGGCTGGAGTCTCCCCGCAAAGCTTCAGCACAGACAACCTTCAAGTGGGACCAGGAGGGCTGGAGCTCCACCTGGGTAGATGTTCCTTCTCTTCTGGGAGCAGCTTCTGTTAACTAAAAGATTCTGCTGCTGCATTTGGACAAGGATGCTGAGAAAGACGGTGCAGTCCAGCACTGTGCCGGTTTTTGCTGCTTGGTTTTTACAACCACTTCTTGGGGAGCAATGAGAAGAAATCAAATCTAAAAACGGAGAGCAAGAGGAGAACGTCAGGAAAATTTCTCCAAGTGGAGGGTTTTGCAGCTTACCTTGCTATGATGAGGTTGCCCAGGAGCATCCGTGGACCTTCTCCCCAGGAATTTCCAGTGGTGCTACCTACAGAACACCTGAAAGTTGAGTGAGGCTCTGTTGCGGTTGCTACCGAATCCTTTTAACGATGACACAACGAAAAAGACCTCCTGAGTCCACTTTCAAAGGAGGCAGAAAAGCAACTGCCTCTTTTGGAAGGGAGCAAGGAGGTTGCGAGGAGCTTGGCGGGATTCAGAGGAACCCTCGTGCCCTCTCCCCAGGCTTGGGTGGCCACGGTCAGAAGCACTCCTCATGCTCTGGGGCTGCTGGAGAAGTGAGGTTGTCCATAGTCAGAAGAGGAGGGGGCACACTTCCCTACCAGCCCCTCTGAACAGTCTGAACAGAGTTGTCTGCCAGGCCAAGCCTCACACTCCTGAAGAGCAGTTGTGGGAATGTTTCCAGCCGTACAAACCAGCCCCCTGAGTAGCCCATACAGAAAAACCCAAGCATGTGAAAATGTGGGACAGCGTCAGCTCATGCAACTTGGGGCACCCAGTCTGTCTGCCCTCCAAATGACACAGTGGGCATTACGGAAAATCTACCTTGGTTGACATTAACAAGGTGGCCGGCAGGTAGGAAAACCGGTTCTCTGACTAGAGGTACCCTTTGGCGCCCCTGTCCATGACACAAGGACTCTGTGCGCCGCAGGTCCATTCCCTGCTCCCGAACGTCCTTAATGCCTCGGTTTGTAAGTAACTGGATCCACTGGTAATGCACTCTGCTGTAAGGGACACCAGTTGGGAGCAACGCAAACGCAAAGAAAGACGAGAGACCGCTGAGGTAGCTGCTGCAGGACCGGCGTGTCTGTGCACGGCTAGCGTGACTTCTGTTCCTGCTTCCTTCGGGACAGAAGCAGACGACCGAATGCACCGGTCGTGTGCGCACAACTCCAAGCCAACGTGCCGTCTCGCTTCGGGTTGCGTGCCTAACCTGAAGTGATGTATCCTTGCCGCTCTCCTCCTCTCCTCCTCCGCCATCTCCTCTCTTCTCACCCTCCCTCCCTCACCTCCACCTTGTGCCTCCGTCGTTCCTGTTAGTTTTTTTTTTTTTTTTAAGGCTCGGCAAGGCATTCACAAATCCTGTCTTTCTGCAGGAGAACCCCTTCAGGGAGAGGATTGTCCACTCTTTTTCTGAGGATGAGGAGGGCAGTCTCAGCTTCAATGACTTTGTGGACATGTTCTCCGTCCTCAGTGAAACAGCTCCTCGAGAGCTGAAAGCAATCTATGCCTTTAAGATCTACGGTAAGCAGTGCGAGGCCATCAGATGACAGAAATGACTGTCCCGGTTATGACAGGCAAGCAAGCAGGCTGAGCCACCCGACGCGAAATGCAGTTACTGCAGGGTGACCCACAAGTGCAACCGACGGCACTGGTGCCAGGTGACGCCCTGTCTGAGGGCGAGGGTGGGGACCTAAATGGGGGGTGGGAGCAATTCCTACCCAGCCCACTGCTGGCCAGATGACACAGGGTCCCACCCCTTGGTGGAACGTGGATCCTGGATGACGCGCTGGGTGGTCCCCCTACCCAGTGCATGAGCTGGGATCCTGCTCCACTGCTGGAGGAGGCCCATGTGCCCCAGAGCCCCAGCCAGGGGTGCTTTGGACGCAGGGCACATCCCCCATGGCGGAGCATCCCAGGAGGGCGAAGCCCTCCGCCATCCTCTGGGGGCTTGAGTGAACTGTGTGAACAGGTTTGCCCCTGCTAGGAGGAGTAACGCCCCCTGCTGTGACCTCTGACCACGGATGCATGCATCTAGGGAGGCCACGGGATGAGGCCCCCAGGGCAAAGCTCCACACAGCCATGTGGGACACGGAAGTGTTTTCTCCACTGGGATGCGATGGCTCTGTGAAACGGAAACTTTTCCATCCTGGCTTGGACCTTCCAGTTCCGCCTCATGGAGCAAATGATTTTTTTTAAAGGGAAAAGAAACCCACACATGTCTGGATTGCTTCTCAGAAGCCCTTCATGAGAACCACCAAGAGGGCCATCAGCAAAACGCTTCTGCCAACCCATAATTAATTTAGCCCAACAGCTGCTTTCACATTTCAGCAAAGCATTGATGAGGGGAGAAGTGAGGGGAATATCAGGAACAAAACCCCCTTTTCCCCAAAATGTAACGCCTCTGATACTTATACTTTCTTTATTGCAGAATGATTGGCCAGGTGCCTGCACTTTTGCAAATAAATCCACACTGGCTGTTTTCAGATGATTACCCGACATGCTAAATGTCATCCCACAGCTTTCTAATTAAACGGGGATGATGCTAATCTTGCTTATTGGGCCAAGGACAATAAAACGAATGCTCACAATGGCCTTTTAACTGGCGTCCTATTCTACATTTGCAGGATGAATTGCCAAGCACCTGACGTGGAAGTTGTGTGTGTGTGTGTGTGTGTGTGTGTGTGTGTGTGTGAGAGAGAAAGAGCCACCTTCATTGCCATTGCATAAACCGGAACAAGGCAGTGGTGAATTACTGCAGTTAGAAATCAACCCCAAATATCTCTTTCTTCCCAGTGGCCTAGTTTTTTGCAGCAACAGGGCTGAAGTTCTTTTAGCCTGAAGACTGACTCCCACTGCAGTGGCCACCCACTGGTGTCAGGTGGGGTGGAAATCAAAAGGGGCGAAACAGAAGTCAGAAGGGGCAGGATAGAAACGGCAGCACATTTTAGCCCAAACTCCTCACCTGGAGAGACGTGTCAACCTTTTGGAAGGAAGGGGGCCAAACCTGAGAAACCTTCAAAGGCTGGGGGGAAATGTATGGCCCAGGAGAAGGGTGTGGACTCGGCTGGGGACTGTGACCCCAGTGGGTCCAGTTGGGCCCCAATCTGGAGGATCTTGCCCCTCTGGACTAGATAAAGTCACGAGTTATCCACAGCTCCAGCGTGATAACTGAGAGCAGAATCGCCTTGCTCCCCGCTTCTGGATTCTAGCTGAGCTCCCTCGCCTTCCTCTTGGGCTTCTCGCAACATCTGGTCGGTCACTGTGGAATTGCTGGATCAATGAACCTCTGCCGTCTTTATGTCCTCCAACTAGGCACGCGGAGTTTGTCTCTCTAAGTTTGCACTCTTTTAAGTTTGTCCTTTGGGTTAAGGTGGGGGCCGAAAAGAGCCATATTGACCATCCCTTTCCGCCCCTCCTCATCTTCTCACAATTAGATTTTAATGTGGACAACTTCATTTGTAAAGCGGATCTGGAACAAACCCTCAACAAGTTGACCAAAGAAGAGCTGACGGAGGAAGAGGTCAGCCTGGTTTGTGAAAAGGTTATTGAAGAAGCAGATATGGACGGTGACGGGAAGCTTGGATATTCGGATTTTGAGAACATGATTTCCAAAGCGCCAGATTTTCTCAGGTAGACGAATTTGCATATCCCGACAATCAAACCCTTGTGTGGGGTGTGGGGGCATTGGGGAGGCTGCCTTATATGGAAACAGCCATCGGTCCCTCTTGCCCAGTGTTGCCAACACTGACTGGCAGCAACTGGTCTCCTGGGATTCAGGCAGGAGTTTTGCTGTCCAAGCTGGAGATGTCGGGGATTGAATCCAAGAACTCTGTCTCAGAGCCATGGCCCCTTCCAGGTGAAGCTGTAACTTGGCCATTTCTGGGCTTTGCATAAGTTCGTTCAGCTTGCAACATTTTAATTCACAGCTAGTTATCACGGCTAAACAAAGCAGTGCCTTGCCTTGTTATTTGGAAGACAAAATAGGTTGATATAGTATTGGCCACAGATGTGAGGAAAGGAAGAATGAGGCATGCAGAAGTGGCTGCTTTAGACTCGGTGGACATGGGCTGACTTCAGGCCCCAAAGAGGAGAACCCACAGAGAGCGCATGATAAAACTGCAGTGCTTTTTTCCCTGGTGGAGCTTTCTGTCTCCTCCTGAATCTATCATTTTTCTCAGGCTGTTGAAGAGGGTTCTTTTCAGCATTAATTTTTGGCCCCAGCGTCTCACCCTCCATTCCCAGCCCCTGCTCCAGATGAAGGCAGACCTGGTTCCTTCAAATGTGGGTCTTATTTCATCCAGAAAACACGATGGCAAGCAGAGCGTGTTTTGAACCCACAGCTCAGCCGTCTCCCTTGCCACTGCTTCTTTCCCCCTCCCTGCCCAAACTTCTTCATTAATTCGGGACTCGTGGGTCACGTGCTGTCATTCAGAAATGGTTTCCCCCTTTTAAAAGAATGGAGAGAGTGGGCACCAACGGAGCCTGCAACAGAATGTTGCAGCATGGAGGGCAGCTGGACTGCGTCCCGGCCATCTCGTGCCCTTCTTCCCTGCACCTGGTTGCTCTGTCCCAGGGCTCAGTCAGAGCAGCGGGAGCGAGAGGAGCAGATGCACCCATGATGGTCATGCTCCTAGCCAGCCTCCCCCAACCTGATGGCCTTCAGAGGCCTTTGGATCTCAAGTCCCAGAATCCCTGTCCAGCAGGGCCATGGACTGGGAATTCTGGGTCTTGCCGTCCAGCCGTGTCTGGAAGGTCGGAGAAGGCTGCTGTAAGGCAGATGTCTGCGTTCCACTAGAACGGCCTTGCCCAGTGGCCCAAAGACCCAAAGCTGCCGGTGCCTGTCCTTTCTGCTGAGATCTCCTCCTTAGGCACCCAAGGTGCCATTTTGGGGACGCACGGATCGGCACATGGAGCCTGAGTGTCGAAAGACAGAGGCAGCCATTCCCGGAAGGGGTGAGCCTTGGGCGCCTCATGCTATTTTAGGAGCTATCGAACATGGCCTGAACGCACATTTAGACCCAACAATACCATCCTGCCTCTCTGTGTGAAATAAAAGCGCAAGATTCCAGCGGTGGACTTCCGTAGAGCCGCCATGCCAGATTATTGCTCTGTGCAAATAATGTTTTGTTTTTCTGTCTTTTTAAAAAAGCTATTAGAATTGATTTCATTTTGGCTCCAAATCATAGCCTGTGGTATTACTAAACAGGAAAGTAGTTACATATTGACATTAGACCTTTCAACCAGTTCATTTCTTACAGCTTTCTCTCAGTGAACCAGGAACTGCTTTAATATTCTTATATTAAGCATTGCGAAAGGTTTTGCAAAGAAATACAAGTGGTAGAAATAACAAATGTTTGTTTATTTAACTTGTATAGGTCTCTAGCTGTTTGCATTGGTCTGTAAAACACACAAAACCAAATCCTTGCTCTGATCCAACAGGACTCTTCCTTGGTTCTTACAGTTATTGGAACTGTAGTGGATGAGGCTAGATTAAACTAGAACCTTGCTTTCCCAAGTCTTCTCCGTGGCTCTTTTAAAATCCAGTATTTCATAGAATGGTATCGATTGTTCTTTCTCTTGTATTTGTTTGGCATAGTTTTGTAGTTTTGAAAAATCTTGTATGCCTAACAGTAATTCTAAATAAACAAACATCACCAGAATGAGATAGCCACAGTGAAAAATCCAAGTAATAAAGCAGCAATGGAAACCAAAGAAAAACCCAATAAAACGTTTTTAAATGAGCAAAATGTTCATGTACGTAGGATTTTCTTTCTAAGCTTAGCTACAAGACGCAGCAATAGTTTGATTCAGGTTCTCACAAAAACGGGCAAGGTGACAGGCTTGTGTCTGGACTGTACCATTGACAAGAATTAAACATTAATTCAAAATAGCATAAAAGGACATTAAAAGACTATAATGCAGACCCAACCAAGAATAAAAGAAAGCCACCTGGCTAATTGTGTTGGGCCTCTGAATGATCAGGGAGGTCTTTCAAGGCCTTCACCAGGGTTGGTCTTGACCTGGGGCCAAAGCAATCGCAAATTTGGCCTCGGGGATGCCTCTTCTGACTTGCTCTGTTTCTGTGTTTTTATCTATTATATGTCATTGTTTTTATGCACTGTTGTAAAGTGCCAAGAGACCTTTTCCTATGATTGGTCTAGAAAGAAACAAATAATAAAGAAATATTCCAGAATCTTAAGATGGGAATAGGGAAATGCCCCCCCCCCGACCTCCACCTCCCATCCCAAATCTATATGCCCACTCTAATAGCAGACCAGGGCAGAGGAAATTTGCTCTGCTGGACAGAGTCCCAGAAGCATGAATAAGTTGTAAATGACTTAGGCCGTTGCTGGTTCAGAAAATCTGATCCCTGTGGGACCATTTCACTTTTTAAAAAACACTGTCATTTTGCGGCAGCTTGTATTTTAATAGAGCCATTAGCACTAGAGGCCAGCAGCAGCTAAGTGTTCTGTTCTACAAGACTGGTTACGTTTTCTGCAGGAAATTGTTTTATAAATCATTGTGGAAGATGAAACTCCTTTTTTCCCCCCCTTTTCCCTTTTCAAAAAAAAAAAAAAAAAGGCAACAGATCTGTACAGCAAGCGGCCTCAAAAGAGCCAGACAGGGTGTCTTGGCTGCAGTTATTCCTGCCCGGCAACACCTAATTTTGGTTTCTGCACGGCTTTCTCTGTTGCCACTGTCCTTGAAACATTTCTGAAGAGGGTGGCTGGAGATTCACCCTGTCCAGGCTGCTCCAGAGACATCCGCTCCAGAGTTAAAGGAGCCAGCTCCCAATTTGTTTCTAGCTGCAGTTCAAGGAGCCTTTTGTTTTCTAGGGCAAGTATTTAAAGAGCGTGCTCGGAGCAGCTGCCTTTGGATGCTTGCAACTCATTCGGAGCCTAGTCCAGACCCAGTAAGTGAAGTGGCTCACTTCACTTACTGGCTCACATTTTATTTATCTATTTTTTATTTCATTTAAAACTTTTTAGGTCATCCCTTACTGTGGTCTTGGGACAGTTTAACAATAAAACAAAAGCCACTTTCCATAGATGAGGTTTGCCTGTTTTCACCTTCCCAGACAGGCAGTTAAAGTCGTATTCCCTGCACCCCGAGCCCCGCCAGGCACCCCGACTTTCCAACCTGCTCTGGCAGAATCAACATGCAGTGAACCTCAGGGACGCGTGTGGGCCTCCCAGCGCCATTTGCCATGCTTGAAAAGAATTACGGTTGCTGCTTGGCACAGCAGGATCAAATAGAAAGAAATATGAACTCCAAAATGACTTGAGCAAAATGGATAAATTCCCCTTGAGGGAAAATTTTGTCTGCATGTGGATTTCAGTTAATGATGATCTCTGTACTGGAAGAGAAAGATCAAAGTATTGCATCTACTTTGTAACGTGTGCATCTAGGCGGTATCCAATGCTAATCCCATTTTGAGTAGACCCATTGAAAGGTCTCTATATAATAAATATAATATTAATTCTCTACAAGGCGTAATAAATATGTATTTTATATAACACATATATTATAACACGCATATGTGTTATATAAAATATAACACACACATATATATAACTCATATATATAATATATATATTATATATATACATAATACATATATAACTCATATTTTATATTGAAAAGAATGAATGAGACTCAGGTTAGCCGTGATTAACTTAAGACTCATTTATTTCAGCAGCTTTGCTTGAAGCAGGATCAACATGGGAATCATGGTACCCTTTTTCCTCCCGAGCTCCAGTTTTACTGCTTCCATCAGTACCAGCCAGTACAATGGTTGGGATGGTTGTAGTTGATGGGAATTATAGTACAATTCATCTGGAGGGACCCAGCTTGGGGATGGGTATCGTACACTGTGAATTTTTTTCTTTAAAAAGGTTATGGGCTTTTGCCAAAGTAAGAAGGATTTCCTGCCTGTCGGTAGAAATGCTATTTCTCCCCAGCTTTGCGGGCTTTGCTTTTGCTGGAGTGCCTGCGGATCAGAGAGTAACCTTTTCACCCGCCGAAATCCGCGTTTGCTCCGTCTAGCATGACTGCTTTCCCTCTGAAGCTCCTTCTTTGTCTCCGCAGCACCTTCCACATACGGATCTGAAAATGCTGGCTGAGCCTGTGGAGCGACCCCATCGCCTGTCCTGCCTCCCCAAATCTCAGGCAAAGCTGCGGGCAATTTGTGCCCTTTTCTGAATTCTGCCACGAAAGGACTACACAACACTGGGCCTTCCCAGAGGAGAAGCCCCGCTGCTTCCCAAGAGTCTCGGAGTCCCCATCGAGGTGTTGTGATCGTTGTTTACTCATCACAGTCGGGTAGCAAGGCTGCAGGTGTCCAGTTGTTGGGTTGTTAATTTTTTTATCCAGACAGACGTCCATCCAGTGGTGTCTCCCTTGTGGTTTTTATATTTGTAAAGATTTGATAAAATGGTCCCTCCGAGCAAAAACAGAGCGAGAGCCAGAAGAGATGCTGCCTCGCCCAGAAGCGGCTGGATTATAAATAAAGAAATGCGTAAGGAAACGCTGGCCTTAAGGGAGTGATCTTCACAGCTGGGAGGAGTGGCCTGACGTGGACGGACGGCTGCAGTGCCCGTCGTGTCCCGTCGGGTGGAAGACGCTGCATCACCCGAATGTGCCATTGGGCTGGCTTTGGTGCTTAAGTGACCTGTGACCCCATGGAACTTGAACCCCTTCCCTTCGGAAAACCTGATTTGCGCCACTGATTTCTTTCTTCTCCAAGCAGACTCTGTTGAACTGTGTCTTTGGCATCCTAGGAGGGTCTGGCTTCTTCCTCGCGTTCTGATTCAATTAGTCTGACAGATTGCAAAAAAAAAAACACCCTCCCCCCAACAAAGAAAATGACCAAACCAAGGATATACCCATGAGGAAATCCAGGAAATAGTTCATCAATCAAAAAAGAAACATCCTTTTTTTCGGAGAGCCAGCTATGCAATCTTCCCCATCAAATGCATGACTTCCGTTGTTTTCACCCCTTCCGTTCGTTGTTCTTGTATCTTCTCTCAAAAACCGGCTTCATTATATGTCTTCTGAGTCCCCCCTTGGATGAAAACGGGCACGCTGACAATCATTCATGTACAATAACTGTTCTTGAACAGTCTTATAGAAGGGCTCTGTTAAATATCCATGGCTTATGTAACCAAGACATCCATGATTAAATATTCCACAGATTTTACTAATTATTAATTAAAAGATTTCTATATTGTCTTTCAGTCAATAGACTCTCAGGGCAGTGCAATGGGACCAGAGATAAAGGTGTAGGCAAGCTCTGTGGGGTGGTGGGTGGGGTGCAGTTTTTCTTTTTCCATCGGGGGGCATGCAATACTCTGGGTAGGGCCACAGCAGGGCTTGGCTCCCCCAGGTATTTTTATGGTAATACATGCAACTCGCCCGAAATGATAGTAAGCCAGTCCTGGGGACCTTCCACCCTTTCCACTGATGGGATCTCTGGAAGGAAAAATGCTGGGAAATCTTATCACAGATTACTCGATTTCTAATATACCGATCCTGGACTATTTAGGGCCACTCATGCCTTTGTGGTAAAGGAATGGGGCTTTCAGTGTTCTCCTGCATGGCTTACACTGGTGGGATTATGGATTGCAGACTTGCAGCTCCGTCCTCAATGCATTTACTTGGGAATAAGTTGGTCGAGAAGTCTGGCTTGCAAGTAAATGCTTGGAATCTCAGCCTTATCCCAAAGATGGAGGATTTTTTTAAGCAACAAGAAAAATCCGGATCAGCTGATTTTCTGCAGCTAGGAAATGAATCAAGTCATTAAGAAAAAACACAAGTGACTTTTCCTAAATTGTTCTTGAGTGTGTGTTCAAATGACTGTCTGTTTCATGCCATGTGGGAGGGGGTGGCTGGAGTAACCGGACAGGGCGGCATGGAGTCAAGGACAAACTTCAAGCCAGCATCTGTGGATTTATTCCGGCTCCTTGGAGGATCTCAAAGGACCTCCAGCACTGCCGAGACAATCAGTCTCAGGAGTTTAAAAAGTCATTATAGGCTTAAGCTAGTGGGGGCCAGAGGCCTTGCTGAGTGATACTGGCTTTCTTGCTTTTCTATATCATGTGCTTTTCTAAGCAGAACAGTGCTCCTAATTATTCTGATCCCTTCAGTGTGACTGTTCTTTAGGGCATCTGTCCCAACTGTCCCCATGAATGGTCAACACCCGGCTTGTATCACCCAGCATGCTCTAATCTGCAGGTAGCCGCTCTGAAATGGCTCCTTCCCATCACCTGTGGCCAAGTTTCCTGCGGGCACTCCAAGAGCAGAAGGTGGGAAGCCGCAATCGTGGTGCAACGTTTGCTTCCGTGGGATCGTCTCTCGACACTCTCCTCCGGTCCTCTGGGGAGCCCTTTCCTTCTTGGGCTGGCCCAAGCTCCTGTGGCTCATCCCGGACTGAGAGCCCTTCGGCCCTTGCATTTTGGCTCCTGCCGTCAGCAAACTGCAGGCTGAAGCACACCCTCATCGTGCCTTCCGTAGAAGAGACTCCTCAGAGGAGGACGTCGGCTCCCCTGGAGTGGCCAGAGCCAGCCAGGGAAGCTGGCAGCCAGGGGGCCCTGCTCAGCTAGCGCGCCCTCTCTGTTTCTTCCTCCACTGAGTCTTCCTCCGCGTCGGTGAAGGAGAACAAGCCTCAGGCCAGGCCCCAGCAGGGGAGTCTCCTTCAGGCCTTGGGACAGCCAAACGATCACTGGAAGACACCAGGGGCTGGACCCAGGACCTACTGCACCACTCAGGGGATCTGGGCGCTAGTGCCCACTAAGCAGTGGGTGAATTTGGGCCATTCATGAGCATTCAACCTGGTCTACCTCACAGGGTTGCTGTGAGGAGAAAATGGGGAAGAGGAAGCCATCGCAAGCTGTGTTGAGTTCCCCAAAAGTGGGAAACACCCAGATTGCGAGGACTTCAGTCATGACATTGTATGGAAAATTCCTCATATACAACGTGGGTATCTCCACAGACTTAAGGCTCCATCACCACCCCCTCCCCTCCTCATCTCCTCCCCACCTCCTGAGCCTTTTACAAGGACCTTCAGGCACTGAAACGGCCACCTTTTCATCCATAGCCGGTGCTGCATCGCTGAGCTTTGGTCCTCAGGGACAATCCTTGTTTTCTGATTTCCTGGTAAATCGCTGTCCCTGTTTTGCTCTTTTGGGGGAATGTTGATACTTTTTCAAGAAGAAAAAATACTCCATTCATCCAGGATAGCATGCGATGCCTTCTGCCTTCTGCTCTCACCTCCAGATGTCGCCGAGAAGTTATATCTTTAAGCGAGGCCGACAGGCACGTCAATGCACCCCAGTGAATCCCACCTCTCTTGTATTTCCCTCTCATGCAGCTCTTTATAAAGACAGGAAATCTTGCCCGAGGCAGTGTGCCGGTATGCACCAGTTGCTGGGGAACATGGTTTGGTGTGTGCAGGTTCATTCCTCCTCTTCTGATGGGCTTCCCATTCATTGTCTGCTCTGTGCACAGACCACTGGACTAGAAAAACCTGATTCATGGGGTGATTCAGAGCGCTTATCAGATATTTTGAAGCGTGCTCTGCCCGGAAGCCTGTACAGCTTTCAGGACTGCCCCTAAATCATGGCTAACCTCCTGTCCCCTCTTGCAACAAAAAATGCAATCCTCATATTGGTAGTTGAAGCAATGAGTGAATTTCGATTTTATTTTTCATGCGTAATGTAAATTTTTTGCACATTGTAGGCAGTATGTATTTCAACAGACTTTATGCAGGATTTCTAGTGCAAGAGGGAGGACGTGGTGGGGAAGCCAAACCACGGCAATGAAGAAGAGGAAGAGGAAGAGGAATGAGGAGGAGGAGGAAAAAAAGGGCTAAATTTAGGGATGGCTGAATGAGACCTACAAAGAGTTTAAAACCAAATGGAGAAAAACGATCACATGGATTACAGGCTATTATGTGGAATCCAAAAGAGCATCTAAAACAAAGCTACACAAACCCAAAAACGAAAACACAAAGCAAGCAAAATAAACCAAACAATCCAGAAGAACTGCCAGGAAAGACTGTGGCATTTTGGTTGCTCTTAATAAAGGTTTTGTGAAAGGTGGATTTTGCCTTGGAATGTTATACTTTATACCAGAGAAAAACATTTTGCGGGGCACGCAACTGCTTTTGGTTCTCATCAGGTGATCTTCTGGGCATGCCTTAAAATGCCGCACTCAAAATTTAGTCTTCTTGTCTGCAAAGAGGAACTTTCGAGGTTTATCACTCTGTTGGGGAAATAAACCACAGTGAGATTTGTTTTACAAGGAAGAGGCAATTCACTGCGCAGCAGTGCTCTGGAAAGCTTACTCACTTCGCTGGATTTTCATTTCCTGGCTCAGAAAAGCACATTATAGTGGCTTGCAAAGCTTGCCCCGGAAGGGGGCCAGGTGGAAAAGGGAAATACCATCTTCCCACCTGTCCTCACGTGCACCCCTCCCCCCCTCCAAGATGGGGAAGATGGGCTTTCTGCATTCCCTGCCTGCAAGACACTGCTTCCCCTGGCTCGGGCACCAGGAAATTCTTCGGCACGGGGATGTTAATCAGCACCTGCTTTGATTTTGTGGCAAGACGGAGTTCCGGGGACAGCAAGAAGAGCATTTCTGTTTGTGCTTTTCTCTATATAACCTCTAGGTGGCACTGTGGTGTAATGAAATGCTAGAAATAAGCTAGGGGAAATGGCGAGATTCTTTGCTTTAGCAAGTAAATGCTACCTTTTCCCAAGAAAGACAGAAGGACTTTCCCCAACTGCAGTTAGGCATAGAAATGAAACTGCAGGTTCATGCCATCATGAAGGGACCCTCACCTCATCATTTAAGGAACCTGTGCACAGGTGTGAGCTCTTAAGGAGAAAAAATCCAAATAAAAAATCGACGAGGTGGGCAGCTGCTGAGGGGCTGGATAGTGCTCTGTTCTGTTTCGTTTTCAACATCCTGATAATTAGGTATATCGCACTGCAAAGCAGTTTTCCCCAACCTGGCACCCTGCATATGTGTCGGTCCACAAGACCCAACACCCCCAGGATGGTTGTGGATTATGGGAGTAGTCATAGTCCAACGCATATGGGAAAAGATGCTTCAGAGTATTTAAAATGCTTCGTAGGCATGCTGAGTCCTTCGTCCTGCAAAATAGTGACACTGAATCTGCATATTGCAACGGGGAGCAGAGATTTGGCCCTGCTGGGAGCCACTGCATGTGCTTATGGAAGCAGTGAGACCTGAAGGAGACCTACAGCTTAGTAGCCTCTACTCTTCACCTCTACATTGGTTGCTGAATGCAGTTTTGGATTCACTTCAATGGGGACGGTGTGGGAAAAGGTCATGTTACCCGGCAAGAGCTCCAGGGCCGGAGGATGCGCTCAATGGAGACTTCAGTATTACGAGCGGATACCTGACTCATCCTTTCCTCTTTGGACCGAGTAATTATGGCCACGATCCAGCCAACAGTAAACCATGTGCAAGTCCCCCTGCTTTCTCTATTCCACTGAAAGCGGTTGGGCTTAAAAGCACAACCATCGGCTGGTTCGCCCCTCACCTAACACATTGCCCAGGTTGGCATGTGCTGGGTCACCAATGCGTCCAAGGCTACGACCATATATGGCCCCTGCATTGTTAATAAGGTTGAGCTTTGAACATGACGATACCTTTTGGCTCGGCTTGGCCTCTGGCACAGTCCTGAGGCCAAAGGAAATGTGCTCGTAGGTGTTTTCTGCCGTGGGAACACGTCTCGCCGCCAGCGATCCTTGGGAGGAGTGACTGGGGATCTTCTCATACGGATTCTTGGTGTGGAGCTGTGGCTTAGGAGGCCATTCAGTCCTGGCAGAGATTTGGTCGTAAGTCTCTTTGGAGCTTGCTGGTGATGTCTTGGGCGACTTTTCTGAGTCAAGCTTGTGGGTGACGCTCCTTAACCAGCCAAAGGAAGCCTGTTCATGACTCCGCTCATTGCTGGGCCATGCTGTGGTTGGATGGGATTTCACCTTGCTGATCTGCCCATACGGAGCCCCCCCGTGCAATGCCTTGTTTTGATGCCCTTCGCCAACCACGGGAGAGGCTGGGAATAAAGACTGTGGCCCTTGGAGCTCCATGGAAGATTTTTGTTTAGTCGCTAAGGTAGGAGACACCTTCAGAGGTGTTGAAGTAGGAGAGCTCCGTG